GCAGCGTCCAGGCAGATCTGGACCTATGGGGATTTTACGTGGAAAGTACTTTTGGGGCCCTAACTAAGGCACTGTCCAAGCGGCAGCGCAGGTAGGCTCTAACGGCTGAGATATTCCCCTCGAAACTGGACCCGCGATCGTATTCATATGGATTCATGGCAGTTTCGCGCCAAAATCCACGCTTTGCGCCATGAATCCATGCGAAATACGATCGCGGGGTCCAGTTTTGAGGGGAATATCTCAGCCGTTAGAGCACTACCTGAGCTGCGGGCTGGGCAGTGGTCTTTTGGAAATGTCTTGCTTCTTTAGGATTATCTGAACTCTTACGAGCAATATTGGCTCAGTCGCAAAATGCAAGTCATTCTTGGTGACGTTCTTCCGTTTTCTCCAAATTTGTCATTGTTGGAAGAAGGTTTCCATTGGCATTTTTTCGTCCACTTCTACATATACTGAATTGAAAAATCCCCAAAACGTCTCACTTGCGCGAACATTGCTGCGGTTGTCCCTCATGTAGGTACAAAAAATGAAGCCACATGTTGTAAATGAGTGTTCGCATTTTTGCCTGACATCAGGCGCTTTTTCGAAAATGGGGAACAGACTAGCTCAAGTTTCTTCTCTGACTGCAAACAAGGAAATGGTTTTTTTTTCAAGGGTGGTGCAGCCTTCGCACTAAAAAACGAATTCTCGAACAATACCATTAAATAAAGCCGAGTCAATCGTATAGGCCGCTTCTAGCAATACTTTTCATTTCTTGGGCTCACCGACCAAGAAATAGTCAGAAGAGAGGGAAAAGAGGAAGATAATTTGCTTCGGAAACATGAGGAACCACGTTCTTGGTCCTGCTAAGGGTACGCTTTGATTGCAGGATAGAAAAAGGCAGCAGGGAATATTATCACTGGCTTAAATTTCTTCCTCAAAATTGTTTCTACTTTGGGTTTATTACCAAAAAGGTCACGAAAGCTTATGACGTCTCAACAAAAGTTTCTAGTAAACTTGAGCATCTACATTTTTTGTAGGAAAAGTGCTGGTTATGAGCCGTCAGAAAAGTTCCCGAGGTTAGTTCATATGATTCATCCGTACCCACGAAATTTTTGAGGCTAAGGCATCCTAGGATCGCACCCTTTCCGCGCAAACTGATGGACTACCATACTCGTAGACTTTACTGAAAGGGAACGGTTCTTACGGAAGTTAAATTCCCGCATGAATATCTTATGAAGTATCTTACTGGTAGAAAATGACATAGTTGAGGCCTTCAGTTTTGCCTGTACATTTTCAGTGTAGGTATTCGAGCTGATAGATTCAAAAAAAGATTCTTCATAGAATCATAGACTGAAGCGTTGTTATTTTCACGAGGGCAAGCTAGGCATGATGGCAAATTGCATCTTTGTCCTCTGTTCTTGCTTTCGAAAATTTCTTTGAGGTAAACGTTAGCTCTTCGCTTCATTCAAAGTACACGTCATTTGTTTGCTCCATTATTATATGTTGTTTCTATTTCCAACTCTACTAAGTCGTCCTATCATTTTATACTTTGACTACACAGAATCGCTTTTATGAGGCTGAGCACTTAACTGAGAAGAATTATCTATCTTCTCTGTGTTTGTAGTGCAAATTCATGCATGTTCATAATTCTCATTATGCTCATCTTAACTGGTCGAATAAAAATTCTACTATAGAGGTGCTGAAGTTACGAGAGGATAAAACAAATGATGGTAGACCGCTGTTTAGACCTGAGTTTTATCAAATTTTTCGAGAAGCTCTGTGTTCAGCAAAAATCAGCATTTTGAGGAGCCGAAAGCTGACATATGGATGTCTCTTTTTCAAACCAAGACATCTGGAATGCGCTAATGCATTTGACCTCCTTGGGAATTATTTCTTGGTCTGGCTTTTTTGGTCTGAGCGTGGGAAAACGTAGGTCACCCAGCACTCGTAAATAGCACATGACCACACGATGTCCCGTCTGTTTTGGCAGCCTTGAATTCTGGGTCCAGTCAGACAGACAATCAACAATAGGTTCCTACGATAGTACATGCATTGTCCACTAGAGCGAATTGTATGAATTTATTGTGATTCTTGAGAATTCTCAACACAAACACAGTTTTCGACTTGCTGAATTGCAAAAAGTCAGCTGAGATATTAGCAAAATTCAACTTACTCACGATTTTACTGTTTCATGTAACATAAGAGTCTTCCAAATTAATTTTTTAACTTTCTCAGTCTAAGCGTGTGAGAACGTAGTTCACTCACCGCAGCATAAACTGCATATGCCATATTCGGTTCGACTTGCTGACTTGTAAATCTTGAAAATACATCTTTTGGCAACTGAGATACCAGAATATTCATTGGATATTCATTTGCGCACAGCTTTACCAGTTGATATTTACCTAGTGCATGGAAAGGGAGTGCGTCATGCTATGGCAAATCCTATAACAGCACTCATGTTCTATACTTTTTCACAATGTTTCATAAAGGATAAGCAGCCATTGAAGTCATTTGATTTTGAGCAAAATAGTGAAAGAACTTTTGCAAGTTTTGCAAGTTTGTTACAAAGCAGCAGTGTCGAACTCATTTTTCAAACAAAAGACCTCATTGCTTGTTGAGCAATTGATGACGTAAGCAAAGACAGCAAAAGAGCGGAAGCCAGTCATTTGATGGTTTTCAAAAGTAACTAGCAATAGCTTAAGGGCTCATTAAAATGGATAGGCTATTAAAATACGAAAATGAGTATGACCTTTCAAAAAAATGGAGGTCTGATTGCTTAAAATTGTAAGGAGGCTTACAATACCACTTTATAGTTTTTTTCCCAATTATGCAGCGGTCGTTTTTAGACATGATACTGAAGTTTAGTCTCCTCTCATTTGAGGACTCTGCTGCATTATGTATGAGATAGATTTATTCTGCAAAGATCTGCATGTTTATGTGAGTGGTTGTCCCTGAAGGCTCGGAGTTTTCCTTCTTGTCGCATAAACTTTGAGGAATATTAAAATTAAAGTAGGCATTCTAGAGAGTCAATGATAGGCTATGGAAACTAATGAATGAATTGCTCTTATAATGTCCCTCAGAGTGAAATCCGAACAAATTCTTTTGAATTAAATGGCGAATTGGAACGTTAACTAGATTTGTACGTACCGCTGCAAGCAAAAGAAAAAATTGATAAGAAAATTTTTTTTAAAGTTTATTTGAAGGTATGGGCCTTTTGATATGAGCACAAGGAAGGACAGCTGGGCTTATCCTCTGCATGACTTTTGAGCCGACGCGAAAGACGATTTGGCAAGAAAAAGTCAAAACCAATTTGCCCTCAAGTAGTTTGCGTTCAAGGTTATTATGTTTTCCATCCGACGCTCACATATGACGGCTAGCTTGCATAACTCAAAATTCCGAAGCTTCAGAGCAAATTTCTTGGTTTTTAAGTACCTTTGAACAAAACCTCATTGGATTAAACACGCCACATAAATCCTCACAACTAGTATATCTTGAGCCTGTGTTTTCCAAACAAATGATAAGTTAGGTAGCTGTAATGATAGCTTTCACAGGGCGTTTCATGGCTCGCACACCTGTGCTTTCATTTTTCCCCTAAAAAAGACTTATGCATGGAACGAAAGAGGCTATTGAGTGCTATTTATTTTGTTTCGACAATAAAAGAAAAGTGCGCATTTTTTGAATGTTCGTAATATATAGACTGCTCTTGATTCTCGATGGGCTGCACATCTATCCGTGGACATGCAACTTTTTAGAAAATAATTGATTACACGTTCAAGTTAGGAGCGCAAACTTTGGAGTTTGTTTATCCGCAGCTTTATCTTAGGCTGTCTGTAACCTCAAATAGAAGCAAACTGCTTCTAGCCATGACATTTTGCTTTTGAGAATGATGATAAGGATCCAATATTTTGGAATTGTTTCAGGCAAATAACAATTTTGAGCAACCATTAGCAAAAACTATTTATAAATTCGACATTTTTCAAACGAAAGCTGACTAAGCTTCGTTAAATGTACAGGAATATCATAAGATCAACTGATTCTATTGAATTCTATACAAGCCATAAAACGTTGTCAAGTCTTATTGTGATCCAAAAATCCGATTGTTCGGAACAGTTGTTCGTTGATTTTTGCCTCTCTGAGATAGATACTAGCTAGAGTAAAGACGTTAAATGATGCCAAATTTATCGTATCGTGCCATATGATACCGACAAGTTAAATTAGATGCTTTTACAGCATCAGACTTCGTATTTCGAGCTTCTAGTGCTTAAAAGGTTATAGTTAATGACTTTTCTGCCTAACGCTAAACGTAATCGTCCACCACTCAAGTTTTGAGACCTTCCCGTTTTCCGGAAGCTATTATAATCATTAAAAGTGGTGTTGACAGCTTTTCCATCGACGATTGCGAAAATGGACTAAGCAGAGCTAAATGCTACCTACAAGATGTCTTTCGAGTGTCCAAACCCAAAAACTGTAACAGATTTGCTACATTAGCGGTTATGACATGAGAGAAATTTTGAAGTGACGATTGACGGGGCGTGGTGGCTACGCCCTGCAAACATTTTTCGGAGTATTCCTCAAGCTTAACTAGCGTGTAATTTTGGGAGGAGGGCGTGGGGGTGGGGGGAGGGGGAGTGGAGTAGTAAACTTGTCCAAGCCCACAGTTATAACTTTGATTATCTCTGAGTTTTTTCTGAGTTAACTCGAAGCTTTGAACTCGGAGTTTCGAGATTACCACCGACCCTACGTTTTTGATTGAAATCTCTATGAAGCTTCACAATCTAGCCAGTCGCTGTTGAAAAACAAATCTCGCAACATTGCTTAATTGTGCAGACCACTTCCAAAGAACTGCTGGGATCCCATATTTGGGGGGGGGGGGACCACAGTTACTAAAATAATGCATTGTTACAAACTTTTGAGCACTGAAACGACTAGATTTGCTGGTTCCTTTTCTAATGAATAATATGGAAACTCTGACCCGCTATCTCCACCCATAACTCCGTGGCAATCAAATTGGCTCGAATTCTAGAGTGCGGAAACGCCTCCTTACGTCAAATCCCGTGTCCGACCGAGTGATGGGCGCTGATGTGGGCCGCCCGATCGTTGCCTCTATTCTCGCTGCTAATAGGTGAGCATTTCTTTTTGTCTTATCCTAATTTCACGAGTACAATGCGGCGAATTTTTTTCTGAAATAGAACAGCACAAACATACTTCGCGACTAAAAAACCATATACAGTGCTGCCTATAGCCTAAAAATATAGTGCGGTATGAGTTTCTTTTTTCCGAAATAGAGAAGCCGGCTGAGCGGTTCGCTTGGAAATAAAAAAAGGTGATTCCTGCACTGGTGAAATTAGGCTACTTGTTTGGTTGGCTTGTAGTCCGTAAAAAAGGCGGTGTCGTCAATTCTTTTCCGGTGTTTGCATTCTCGTTTGCCTGTTAATTACTAGCAGGTCACTTGGCATTTCGATTTCTGAACCTCATTTCTGAGCCAGCAAAGATTTTGAAAATCCGATTTTCTGATTTTTATGTCATGAATCCTATCAAAAAAGTAATTATGTTTTCGTTGTTACTAGCATCGACTGTCTAACACATTCCGATTTTCTAGCTTGTAAGTGGTATTTTTGTCCTTGTTCACTCTTTGTCTTTTGAACACTTCAGTTCTCAAGAGGCAAAAAGCCTCTAAAAAGCCGATTTTTGCATCAAACCTCCCTCACAAATGCTTTTAAAGGCTCAAATTTGCAAAAATAATTCCTTCATGTTGTAACGGCTTGAGTTCTTAGTCATTATTTAGCTACCAATGATAGTTTGGATGGATTCTGCTACCCCACATCCACTACAAATGAATTCCAAAAAAACGACATCATATCTCATGAAAAGCTCCTGATGTTTGGTTTCCACATTGTCTGCAAAGAATTCAATCTAAAAAACCGTCGAACCAATTAATCATGAAGCATTCGCATGTTGTGTCTGTTTTTTGGACGGCTATGCACTTGAGGTGGCGCAGTTCTCTGGTTTCAAAAATAGAATGCCCCTGGCATTCCCCAGTGACTACTATAGACACTTATCAAAACTTGGTGTTGTGTGTAGTGTGACAGATCGTCAAAATATATCCAGACGCGTAGTCTTTGGAATGACCTTTATAGAATCTTTGAAATGACCTTAAAGAAAATACTGAGTTCTTCTTTTTACCTTTCACGCTCTCCTAGGGTATATTGCGAGTCATGAGCTTTTCTTGAAATGTGGTGCTACCATGCATTTGCAATAGGACTGAAAAAGTTCTGCAACCAACCTTGCACTTGTGTCAACAACCCTGAAGATAACATTAGCACATTTTATGAGAAATTTGCATAAGTATGAGAGATCCTACAAAAAATAGCATAATCAAGATGCGCTGGGATGTTAGCTAAAGCAGTCGATAGGGTTTACCAAAAATTTTGCACTAAAAATTCAGAAATTTTTCCACAAGGTTTGGAGGACTATAGAGCAGTATGCTGCTATTGATCAAAAACAAAAACTGTAGGAATGGGGGGGGGGCAGAAAACCAAAAAACAAGAATATGGAAGAATTTTACACAAAATCAGCAGTTAAAATCACATTCAAATTTTTCAATCTTAGAGCGTTTTTCGCTTTTTATGATGTAATGGTCGCCTTCATCAGTCTGTATGTTGCTTATTTTTCTTGAGAGTTCAATATTCAATATGAAACAAAGCACCAAGAGTCCTGAGGAAGAAGAAAAAACCTAAAAATAAGAGTAGGAAATTATGATGTTTTACATACGTTTCAGCAGTTATTTCTTTGAATTAAAATTGACCAATAATCAAAATTACTTTAGATTTTTGCCAATACCGCAGCATTTGCTTTTTTAACTCCAAATACGATCTTTTTCTTCAATTAATTCACTAGTTTTCGGCAATGATGTGCACTCCAAAAGTAGTTTGTGTGAGGTGATATCACTCATCATTTCATTTGCTCCAGACAGCCTCATCTCTATGCTCCTTTCCAAACAAGATCCAGAAAGTTTCATAAGCAGGATGCTGAGGAAAGCATTTCTCAAAAATATATGATGAGTTTGTACTATGCGACAATAGCAATCTCACAAAAAAACGAGGGGGACGAAGGGAGACACCTTTGGCGTGTTTTCTTTTAGAATGTATTGCCCCACTGATTTTTAAAGTCCTGAAAATAGAGCAGGGAGCTTCTACAAATTTTTTTTCGAAACTAATATGAATTGCTATGAATTAATTTGGCTCTCACAAATCAGAAGTCACTTGCAAAAGTTTGTGACAAACGCAGATTTTCTTTTCCAGAGAATTGTCGGTATTCTAAAAGAATTCGCTGCTTTTCTTACATACTCTTTGCTTACTATGTTACTTGAAAATTCTTGCTCTGTTTTACTACAAGCGCAATACGTAATTTCCCTCTACTTTATTTATTTTTATCTTTTTATGTCTGTCTGTATGAAATTTATTTGTAATGGCGTTCTGTTTTCTCTGAATTTTTCATTGGGAGCAAAAAGGTTTCTCATATCTTTCGCCCACTTTACATTTGTTACATTGAAGAATTCTCCAGTAAACGTCTCACTCGCACGAAAGTCAATTGCTGTGGTCATCCTTCATGTAAGAACAAAAAGCGAAGCCACATGTTGTAAATGAGTGTTTCGCATTTTTCCCTGACATCATGCGCTTTTCTTTGCTGATTGGAAACAGATTAGCACAGTTTCGAAGCAATTTCATTGTAGCAGGTACGATCTTCACATTTAAAAAAGACCGAATGCTCAGCTACCAAGGATAGACCTTCAAGTAGCAGTGGTAATTTGTTATGAGAAGCCTATCATTGAATCCCCTTGCTGAGTATCTGCTGTGCTTTTGTCTACAGGAAGGTTATGAAAGGTTAAGAGTTCAAACTCATCGGGGATCTAATGCATAATGTGCTTTAAAGTTCACCTTAGAAGAGCGTCTTCGAGTGTTGAGTGTATGATCACAAGAAATCCGCAATTCCCCGGGAACATTAATAAATATTTTAGAACAAATTTCTGTACGTAGGCACCAGTGTTCTTCTAGAAGTAACTAGACAGGTTCTCAGCGAATGTTGAAGTAAGATTTGGAATTAGCTCAAAGACGCGCCCAAGAAATATGCATTTGGTTTCAGATCACTGCGATCTGAGATCCTTTGCTAGCCTTGTATGCACGTACTTAGCGCTGGGAGGGGAGGGGATTTGAGAAAGGATGAGTCATGTTTAGCTACTCTAGATATCGGTATTCTACTATTTCTTCTATGGTACGAAAGTTCTTTCACACTGATACTTGAGTATGATGGATGGCAGAACATCTACAAGCTGAGGATTCCATTGTTGCATGTGATCCACTGGGGAATCCCCAGAGGATCATCCCTCGTTTTCAAGTTCGTATGTCTTCCCAAGACGCGATAAAGTCGTCATAAAGCCGCCGAGGATCTACTCTGGCACTGTGCTAGAAATTTTCACCAAAAGAAATGGATTGGGTTGTGAGTTTTTCGATGAAGATTGGCTTGTGAACAGCGGTTCATCGAAGATTTCGATATCCTGATTTCACTAATCCCTTCTACAAACACGATTAGCAGTGTCATGATATCTCGGTACAATTTTGTAGCAATTTCATCGAGTGTACACAGATAAATGACTTTGAAAATGTGAGGTTATCTCCTGGGGATCCCCGAGGGGAATACAATAAACAATGAAAAGCTCAAAGCTTTGTTTGGCAATGTGCTATCATTCATTTTACTTAGATTAAGGTATGCGAAGTTTCATAGATAGTTAGAAAAAGAATAATACAAATCTAGAGTAGCGAGATAGGACGCTTTCCCTCTCCCCCCCCCCTTCCCCCGAGGGAAATTACGTGCCACGGGGTCAGCTACCATCGTTTAGGTCCGTATGCACTGACATCCCTGTGGTGAGGGGAGCGACTTTCATAACGGAGGACGCCGTCCCTTCGCCGCAGGGATGTTAGTGCATACGGGGCTTAGTGCCAGTCAAATTTGGGAATTAACATTACCGGTAAACGGTAGATCGATACATTACAAACACAATGAGTGCATAAAAATTTGTTCAATATGTCAAAACACAATCTTTATGCACAAAAAATTAACAAACACATTTTGCCTGCGACGTAAGCAATACTGAGCCACCAAATCTGGTGTGTACGTTCGTGACGACGATCAACAGTATTATGTGAATGAAAGAATCGAACTTGTTCTTCTAATGTTGCTCCCACGCAACCTATGAGCAGCCTGAGGTTGCGCGAAACCACACTCGTAATTATCCCTCTCAGTCGCTTTATTTCCAATCGTTCAAATCTTTCCTATAGTTCAAGCTTTTCTACTCATCTTAACGCAAGTTTTGTTCACTCTGCTTGCTACGGTCCTTGTTAGTATAGAGACTGCCTTTTATCGCTTTGCTGTCTCTGGTTTCCCTCTTCTCTTTTCATCCAGTCGTCAAGGAAACTTCGCGTTTGAAATCCTCAGATTCCATCTCGTTGTGGGTCCGTGTGTTACTATGTAAAACTTCAAAGTCATCACTCAAAACTGGATTATGTAGAAAGCATGATGCGATGTTGTAAATATATACAAATATCGCAATGATTTCATCCACAAGTGATTTGAATCAAAGTGGCCAATTCAAACAAGTTGCATGTTACTAGATGCAGCATAGAACACTGACTTCTAATTTGTCTTTCTTATCTGCTAAATGGCATTGTGGACGAACGTCACCCATTTTATTACAAAGAAAGGGTGCATGCGAAACGCATAATTGAACATTCAAATCCATGTTCAGCTGATAGTAATACTGCGGAACATGCTGCTAGGTTACTTTATATAGTCCATGCCAAAGTGAGTTAAAAAGGCAGTAATGTGTCTATTTTGCAATTTGTATACGATTTCTTCACATTAAAACTGCTTTTAATGTCGTCCACATGGGCGTCCAGTAGAGAGGAAAACAGATTTGGCGTCAACGTTCTCTGCTACTTCCATTGCATGCAGTTAATTTTGATTTCCCACTGCAATTTCCGACCAACTCCATGTCAATAACAAGAAGAAACCCCTCTGATTTGCAGATCTGGTAAGGAGTATTTCGTCGAACAATTCTGCGTGTTACTCATGTGTTGCCCTCAACTACAGGTAAGTTAATTCGACCTCATCTGTAACGCCAAAAAAATAATGAGGCACATTACTGCTGATTGTATAATACTTCAGAAGTGCTATACCATCGCGTAACGGTCCGCTTCCTCCGCCACTAGACCCCAGAAATCTCTCAGAATTGTTCGATGCCATGCGTACAGTACGTGTCTTCATTTTATCAATTAGCTTATTTGAAGCAGTAACTTAAGAGGGATGAGAAAAACCGGGATTTACAACACAAGAGGACGTAGCTTGATAGTGGGAGGATGAGGAGCAGGAAGAGAGTATTAGAGTACCGTTTTCCAGCTTTGAAACTCGTATAAACATTTCTTTACAGATATTTTATTCCTTTTTTTTGTACATTCTATCGGAGATTTTTCGTGGCGATGAAAAAATGATGAAAATTTTTAATGAAAATCATAACAGCTGAACAACAACGGATGTCAAATTACCGAAGATCTATGCACCATTATGAAAGAAAGTGAGGGAAGAAAGCCCACAAGTGTTGCAAATTGTTGCATGTTGATCAGGGCTCGGCATAGGTGGCTCATAATCAAGCGCAGTATCGTTTTTACGACAAAAAGGAAAGGGGATATCGTTTTTGTGCCCAAAAAATAGGTTTTCTTCAGTCGACGTTTCGTTGTTTGAGGGTTTTTTTACGTTTAGGGCTTAGGTTCAAAAGGGATTTCGTAAACTATTAAAGTCAAGGAGACTTCGTTTTTTACATATTCGGAAAGCCACCTCGTGCTGAGCCCTTATTTTGAGTCAATCCTCAACTTTACTCACACATCTTTGTACTCTTTTTGATTGAGACAAGCGCGGACAAATTCTTTTTTTATTTGGTGGTGTCATGTTGAGAAGCACTCTGAGATTACACTGCATGCTGACAAGGTGGGGCCAAGGTGGTGTAAGGGCATCGTCCAGTCATATTCAACTTCTAAACTTCTTTGCAACTGACCGTTTTTGTCGCGATAAACCCGAATGTGAGTTTTAAATCAAAATTTCGAAAGGCACTGATTGAATAAAACTTGGGCAAAACAGTAGTTAAAGGACGACTTTAACAGGAGAACGCCTAAGACTATACCAGGTTGTTCTAATGCTATCAGTAAAAAAATATAGTAGGCGTCATCTAGTCACCTCGGTGTGAGTGTGTTACTTGCACACAAATTTAAAATTCCGGATGAAGTGCTGGACTCCCGCCGTGCCGTACTTGCACCAAATGCGCATACGGCTAAAATTCGACGCCAAACTGCCTGATTATCTTATTTCGATGTTTTTTTGTTTTTAGCTGCACGCACGGTCTAGTTTTCAATGATTTGTTACCTTAATACTTGCGAATTGCCGTTTTAGATCAGATATCTCGAAATTTACCACTTCCGCTTTCAAGTAAGGGAGGAGATAAGCAATCTTCCAAGATTTTGAAGTAAGTCTCCTATCTTCACTACTGTCGTATGTAGAAGGTCTTAGGCAGTACGAGTTCTTGCTTGAAGCAATTCCACTATAGACTTAGAAGAAGCTTTCCAAGAGGAACACGGTACAAAACGATTTCACTGAAAAGGAAGTTGAAACTCGTATTGTCTAAGAGATACTCTATCCTTTCTACATACGACAATACCGAAAAACACACTTACTTCACAATCCTGCAAGATTGCCCATGTGCCTTCCTTACCTGAAAGCAGAAGTGATAAATTTGAAGATATCCGGTCTAAAACGGCAATGCACGAGTATAAAGGTAACAGATCATTAAGAACTGAATGATGCGTGCAGAAAAACTGCTTAAAACGAAAAAAAAACATCAAAATGGGAAAATCGGGCAGTTTGACGTCGAATTTTAGCCGTATGCGCACTTGGTGCAAGTACGGCACGGCGGGAGCCCAGCACCCCATCCGGAATTTCAAAATTGTGTGCAGTAATACACATCGCACCGAGGTGACTAGACGGATGACGTCTACTATATAAGTCATACTGAATATGTTTATATTCAAACTTGGAACTACTCTGTTCAAGAATTGTTGCTTTTGCAGAGTGGGATTCAAATACCACCGCTGACAGACGCTTGCGCAGACCTGGCACCTTCGACATCGCCGACCACATTCATGCGATCTCCAGTCATTCTTTGCGAATCGAAGACCTGCTCCAAGTTAAGCTTCAACTTCAAAGGTTCTCAGCCCTACAGTTTCCAGAGTGCACTCAACTGGAAGTTATGGATTTCTATTTAGGCGAGAAAGTTGTGGTGCGAGATTGTATCACGAACACATTTGCGAATGAGGAGCTTTTGAAGCAATTTCGTGGAAGTTGTTCACAGCATTCATCAACGTGCGTTCATAAATCTTTGTCATTGGAATGAGGGGGCATATCATTCAATAATGCTGACACTTTCAGTACGATTGGTCTTCTCAGTAGTGTCTCCTTGTGCGAGTGCGAACGCGACCTCTGCAACTCTTCGGAGCGGCATTATTTTCACGGGATGTTTTTGTTGTCTTTACTATTCTTATAGTTCAGGGTGGGAATTTTCTGTAAGAATGTATCAATCAGGTAATAATGTCTAGTCTAAGACCATGTGATATCAAATGATTTACAATTATACTAGAGATCATCTTTAAAAAAGTAGGTTAGTTTTGAACTAAGACTGTTTTTGGTGCCTAACGAAAAAAAGCTTGCACTTTTACAGCATTTTAAGCATTGCAGTACGGGTATAACTCACTTGCTAAGCACTATCTGTATGAAATTGTTTGAAATCTGTTGATGTGAGAGCACTGCTCGCAAGAGACTTTTTTGTACATTCTATGATACAATGCATGCTATTCGATGTAGAACGAGGATGGAACCAAACTTGTTGGTTATGTGCGATGTATATATTTAAATAAAATCTCGGACATTTGCATTTCAGAAAATGAACTCTTTATAATTGAATCAGACGTATTCTAACTTCCAGGTTCTCTCACATAGCCTAGAACGAAAGTCACTTTGCTCCTTCACTTTCTGAAATCCTTGCACTAAAAAAGCAGTAAGCAAGTTGCTGTCCTTAATCTTTATGTTGTTCGGTGACTCAAGCATTTCTTTTCTTGGTTTAGGGAATCGTAAAACATTCTTCAATGCTTTCTGTGCATGCACTTGATGAAGAGCAGGAGTACTACAGCCTTTTGAATTGGCACTAAGGGGAGCTCAAAAATCCTGGATATATTTCGCGCCTCAAATTTTGAGATAGCATTACAAATCAGATCTATCCACAGCCTATAACCTTCACAATCTTGCAAAATTCTATATCTTTTTATACTATGCGAACGACTTTCAAAAGCTTTTCAGGTCATTCGAAGCCCATAACGGAACAGATTTCAAAGTCAAATGCCAAATCTTAAGCTGTGAGAAAGATATCTCTGCTAGAAAGGCACTAGAATCTTTCTGGATATCCTCGAAAAATTCAGAAGAATACTAAAAACGAGTGTATGTCTATTACAGCCGAATTTCTGCCGTTCGTAGCACTTTGTGAGCTGTAGATAGTAAATAGCATATCCTCTATTCGCTCTCCACAGTATTCCTCACTTGTCCGCTTCTGTTACTCCTTTCCGGTCGCTCTGTCAATTTCTTCCAGTGCGGACAAATCATATAGCGGTGGTATAACGGTAGGTTCATTTCTGTCTGAAGAGTTTTTACGGATTGAATTTGGAACAAAGTCGAAACTAGCCAAGCTAGAGGAGACATTCAATGGTCTAATGTTGGAGGTGAAGCTTTGGGTTGTTTTTAGGCCTCTGAGGACGGCGTAGGCGCCGAAACGTTAGGCTGACTTGAATAAATATACCATCCTAACAGACCTGTATGGCATAGCAAGATTGAAACGTATCAACAATGCCGAGATTTAAGCAAAATGAAATTTGGAAATAGTCCGAAGACCGCCCGTCTAAGTGCTACAATCAGTTCAATGGAATGCCGCTTAGCCGAAGGCAGGTTTTAGGGGGGACCGAGGGTGATAGTGTGCAAGTAATTTGCTCGTGATAACCAACGGGACAAATCAGTTGAATATTGTTGCGGTGCGAAATTCGTAAATCTGCACAATTTGGAGGCCCAAGAAGCGAACAACTGATTGCGGGGAAAGGTAAAAAAGTTTCTCTTTTTCTGCAGAGTTTGCTTAGATTTTTTTAAAGCTGCAAAAAACTAGAATTTATTTACTTTGTTCATTCCGTTCGTGTTCCAAATTTCTCAGTTTTCGTGATACCCTCGCCATGATATGTGGTTTTCTTTTATTCAATATTTACGAGGCGATATCATTGACAGCGGTCATCATCGATTTTTTTCGATAGTAGTCGCTATCAAGAATTTGCCCGTCAATGGCGCAGAAACACTTCACTAACCGGCCTCGAACCATCTCCTCGCTTGAAATTCCATTTACTTAGCGACCAGACCTGCTCAAGGCTTTTCGTTTTTGGGGGCGCCCGAAATTCTAAGTCTAGGAATCGATTCGCATCCAGATCGGTTCACTGGATACCGGACCAAGGCGTCCTAGGTTCAAGTCGAGTTGCGCTGAACAGGGGTTTACTACGAGCAGGATTTGCGCTGGTTAAGAGGAAGAGAAGTTAACTTTAGAAAGACTTAAAATCTTGGTTTTTCAAATAATATAGAGAATGTCCCAGGAGTTACTCTATAATGTTTGATCCTTGTTTTCTTCTCACGCTTTTTTGCCGACTTTTGGGTACCACATAAAACTGTCAGCTTACGAAGGAAGGATACTTAATTAAAGTGGCGTTTCCATACGAAATCTCCACCATTCTACAAAGCATAAAACGCTGTCTTCACTTGTTTTTGGTATCTGCAGTACAGCTACATTGAAATCATGAAGTATCATGCTGGCTAATAAATAAGTTCGGCCGCTTTTGCGGACTTTACAAATGCTGCAGAAAAAATTTTGTCCAGTGTTTCGTATCTCTCCTAATTTCCGGGGTATAAGGCGCACCCGCCGCAGCGAACGATGGCGCGAAAACGCTTCTAGGATGCTCTCTAAAGCTAGAAAGCTAAAAACTCAGTGTACTGTGATTATTCTTCACTGCTCACTGCGATAAATCATGACTTCAGGTCCTCTTCTCAGAATGATACTTTGATATCGTTCCTAAAGGTGGGAAGAAGGTGCTCTTAATGGTGTATATAATGTTTAGATTATTCATTCTTTTGTTTTCAATGATGTAAGAAAAAACAGCAGAGAACGGGAGCAAAAAGTTGCTGATGATTGAAAGAAGTTGTTGTCGGATACTTGTGCGGCGCCGCGCATCGCGAACCTCATCGTACAACAGTCCGCGGCGGTGAAAGTTACTGCGCCTTAGACCCCGGAAATTAGGGTATAAATTCTGTTTAAGTAGGACTTATCTTCCAAACTGCAAATAAGTGAAAAACCCCAGTTTCCTCATAGTGCACAAATATGAGGAATTCGAGTCTTTTTTAAGATTTTCGAAGTGGCAGGTCATTTTCAATGTTATCCTCTAATAGGGAAACTCTTCAGTTTCTGAATACCGAACTGATGTCCTCTACATCCATGATAGCATAAAAACGAAGCTTAAGAAGTTAAAGAGCTGAGTTTTTGGAAATTTAGCCATGTTGATGTATAACCTGATGTGTAACTTCGTCTTTTGTGATGATAGAAAATCTTGAATATTTGGTATGTGATAGAAGGAGCTTTGATCTACTTTTCCGCAAAGAATCATGGATAGAGAAACAGCCAGAAAGTTTTCTGTAAGATTTTATGCCAAAGCGAACTTATTTTTTAGCCAACTCAATATAATCCGTACGGACATGATTACTGCCACGGCGCTTTGTGCAGTTAATATTCTCAGTCTAACGAACTTACGCTAGCCGTTACCCCGCCGAAAATATTTGACACATGTTATTTTAGTCAAACCGTTGAATTTTTGCAGAAGCTAATATACCGTATCATTATTATATAATTTGCAATGCACAATAAGGAATATTTTTTTCTTAGATATAGGGAAAACTACAATTTACTTCTTGTTACAGCTTGAAGACTCTACGTGTGCTTGGAAAACTTTGAAGTCTCACTTCTGATAACTTTTTATAGAATTTGCATTCATATTGCATTCAGTGAGAGAAAAAAGGTTTATAATTCACTAGACTCAGCAAAAGGTTTATCATTCACAACTACTCATTACATGATGCACTAGCGAAGGGTGTCTCTAAAACTTCGTTTGTGGTCTTGTTTCTATCCATTTCTTCAGCGTGGCATTCGAGCGAATCATTTCAGCATGTGCTTTAACCTGGGAAAAATATGGGATTCTCGAGGGACACGTAAATACTACTCAGGTCAGTAAGATAATCACCTCAGGAAAGCCATCAAAAAGCCCTGGAATCTTCTTCGCAAATTCTGATGAGTATTCAGCTAGGTAAAGATCGGCGAAGGTCAACGAATCACCGATCAGGTACCCTAAAAGCACACAAAATGGTTTTTCGCAAGTGAAAAACGCAATTACCTGATTTATTCGCCTTGAGGAAGTTTGTCATGTATCCAAAGAATCTATCACGAGCTGGGAAGAGGATTTCTTTGGTAAGCTTGTTCTGCAAAGTTTTATTTGAATGATCTCATCAACTTCCATTCAAAATTGGGGAGCCTGTAGGCACTGATTGCAATTCCTCTAAAGCCTAAAGCATACCTCGCGCGATTCTGTCAAATCGCTACTTCCGCGCGACTTGGCGGTTTGATGCTTATAAATCAACCGTATGCATTTTTTAAAATGCGCAGGCGCGTAGCTTTCGTAAGTTATAGCAAAAGCTTCAAGTTTGGCCCATGCAAAGCGCGCTCACGACCATTTATGAAGAGTCGCTGCAGCGCCAGATCGTGTAGCGGCTGGAATCGCGTGAGGTATGCCTTAGGCCAAAAGCGTAGCGCTTCACTCGATAAGTCAAAGGCGTGGCTCGGGAAAATTACAATCACGAATTTCCCATCCCTCCTTCGCCAATTGAAGCGCCGAGTCCAGGGCTGTGCTTGAAAAGGCGAAAAAGTGATTTTCTTGGCGTTATCCGTTCTTGGAGATTGCTGAAGGGGATATGCGAGCTAAGTCGCGATTGGCTGCCTGAGCTGATTAGCCAGTTGCCTTCAAAATGGGCGAAGTTACAGGCAAGAAGCTGTTTTTGGCAGTAATCCCTCGCCCAGCCTCTTCAGCAATTTTTAAAGCCGGAAAACGCTGAAAAGCAATTTTTTTATTTTCAAGCGCAGTTCAAACCCAGCGGATCCAAAAGGCTAGCAGGTGCGAAAGGCTCCACTCGAAATTTCCCGAGCTACTGCCTTTAAAGGCAGTGGATCAGCAGAATGGACCTTTCTCGGATTTTGGTGGATTTAGGTAGTAGACTCCCCAAATACACTGTATCTTAAAACCCATCTGCCAATTATGCGTTAAGTCCTAAAAATTGCGCTTCAAAACCCCCACCAGCCCCGCCTCTTTCCATTGAGTGGGCGGGGCTGGTGGAGTTTCGAAGCGCATTTTTCAGGACTTAGCGCATGAATTCGCAGGTGGTGTTTGGGCTACAGTGTACTTGGGGAGTCTACTACTCAAATCCCCCAAAATCGAACAAGGGTCCATTCTGATGATACACTGCCTTCAAGCTTATATTATGCTGTTCTTAGCTCACCAAATCACCCTCCTCGAAACCTAAAACGACTTTCATCGCTGGTTGAATCTCGTTCATAAAATCCTTCCACTGATCAGCAATCGAGTCAACAAGTGCTTCCTCGAACGGAGTTTTGCCAGCATATCCTCAAGCATATTATTTTTCCTTGTCCTCAATTCATGTTCAAATGTGGCTCTCACCGAATTTTCTAGCAAGGAAGCGGACAATTGCGAAAGATTGCGCCAGCTTCTTGCCATCAACTTCCAGCACTGGCATTTGGCCAAATGGCATTTCTGTAACACTGACAAAAATATTTTTTAGAATTACTTTAGCACACACCAGATTTGTGCTTTGGCCATTCCTCCTGTGTAAGTCGAACATCTTCGTATTCCTGTCCAGCAAGTACAAAGATCTTAGAGAAAATAGGATTTTTCTAGAAGAAAGCAATAGACAGTGATACCTGACGAATGATCTCGGCTGAGCCACGACCATCGAAGTAGGTGAGTTTGTAGTGAACCATTCTGGATGGATGGACATAAAATGGCACAAAAATAAATTTGTTCACACAAGAAATGCACTTTCAGGAAGGAAACAGAATCGGCCTTTTTTGTAAGTGGCAACAATGCATTACTTTGTCAAGCCAGAGTCATGAAATAGTGGTAATTCTTCTACCGAGCAACTGCCAATTCATCTAGTGATTTCCATCGCATTTTCCATGGTCCTTAAGATGACATGTATGGGATACAAAAAGTCAGATATGTATTTGAAAGAGAAGTCAAATGAAGGGGAGAGAAAAACAAAACCTTCAATTTGTGACATGCCAAAGTCATATGCCGTTTTTTGACAGAAAGCATTCAGAAACTTTATTTTGAAGTCTATCATCGGTGCCCCCCACAACCTTTCTGAAATGTTAAGCTTTTTTTAAGGCACGTACAAATCTTAATGGCTTAGTTGTCGCTATTAACATAGCTTACTTCTGAGCAAAAATTGCTTTCCAGTAATAAAGGTTTGTGAACATACAAGAACGGAAAATATCACTAAAACAATTTATATGAAACGTTAAAACAGTCATTTTATTCTCATCAACGTTTTAGGAGGAAAACGACATTTCTGTGCTAGAAATGAAAGTAACATGATAGGTTTCCGTTCCAAAAAAGTTCTAGTTGCATCTTTTGAACCGGTTTCGTATAGCACATTCATTGTTAATCATGTGCTGCTGCACCTATAACATCAATAACAAAAAGTAGAGATGTTGTTGTTATTACAAAACTAATTGTTGCTGTATGTAGCGCAAAAATTTTCACTTTTGTACTTTGTGCAAAGAAATTTTGCTCTGAAACTAGGATAGTCCTAACATAAACTAAATATTTATGAAGTTACCGAGGCAGAGTTGCTTTCGCTTTCTACTGATAAACCAAGAACAAAGCGCGCACATGCTGAGAGGAGACAAATCTCGTACTCTAACGTGGAGAAAGGAAAGCTTTGAATGTGGAAAATTATTCAATCACTTCAAGCAGCAAAAATATTGTTGCCAAGCAACCTACTTCATTAAGTGTAGTCCAGCCCAAGACTACAAAGAGTGAAAGTCAAAAAATGGCTTCCTGCTTTTCTCACATGCTCAATTAGGTGAAAAACACCATCTACAATCAGCAATTAGTTTGAATGTAGATAGGAGGCGGAAGGCTTGCTAGACGAAGGCACGGAAGAAATACCAGGAAAAAAGAAAACATTTTCTTCTTTCTTTGCATACTTGCACAATATCCGAGGTATTGGTGGGAGGCAGGAACTTAAACATTTTTTTCTCAAATTCAGCAATTACAGACATGCGGAATTCTGAAAATCGACCTAAAGGATCTTTTTGGCATAACTTCATTCAAAAAATTCTTTGTGCCAGTGCGGGAAGAATCACAGATTGTTACTCAACGCATCGCATGCGAAAGGCGAAAGTAAATTTCTTCGAGGAAAAGAGAAAAGCCAGTTTCCTCTTGATGTCTCAGTTGCCATCTGTTTAACTCTCGCATGGAAAATGTCAATTTTTCATAGAATGAATTGGTATAGCAGCTTAATGGGCTTGCAATAAATGTTTGAACAACCTGGTGAGCGAGAGAAAAATGTGGCGTATCTCCAATTTCCTCCCATTGTGTACACTATCAAAGGTCGGCACCGTTTGACAGACAGCAAAAACTACTCTTTTGTCCTTACTTCTTCTAACTCTAGACAACTACATGATGCACAATGAGTGCAGACTTCAACTCAAAACACTGAAACGATTGTTTTCTCCGAATTCAAATACGTGAATAGAACATTTCATAATCTGATTTTTTAAAGGTACAGTTGATGCAAAAACAATTAACTATTTGCTTCGTAGATTTGAAGTAGAAGCTCACAGTCATATGTCCATAACCATACGCATGCGCAGACTTGGGAACATTGAATCTGGCTAGAAAAAATTGCAAAACCGAAACGTTTTGAGACCAACGTAGCACGCCCGGCTGATTCCTGCAGATAAGCACTTACTTCCAGAAAGTTTTTAGAGAGCTTTACAGGATTTCTTGCCATTTTTTCCAATGACAATCATTAAGTCAGTGCAGTTACTTACAACGAAGGAGATCACTAAAAAATGGGGCACCTAGAGAATAAATGTGGATTTCTCAAAAAAGAAAAGTGATTAAACTTTCAAATTTTGACAAGTGTCAGAATAAATTACTCTCTTTCAGAAAATACCTATAGAAGGTCATTTAAGTACTTAATAATTTTTATAGTGGCTGAAATGCAAAGTTAGTCACTTTAACAAATTATAAACTTCGGGCAGTATCTGCGCAGTGAAACATACGAAACCATCCAAAGTACTACTGCTGCTATGCGTGAAGTTACAGTCACCAGACCCACGATGGATTGCTGGCCTCAACTTTCAAATTCAGGAGTTATGGCCATTAGCAGCTTTGAGAACAAAGATACGTGCTATTCAATTCTTTGCAGGTGAACGCAAGCTTTATAGGTACCATCTGAAAGAGCTTTTTGCGCTCTATCCATCCATATGCAGCTTACCTCACAGTTTATCTATTTTCGGAAAATACAGATTGAAACTTGATTTATTGGTTTTTGTTGCGCCGAAAAATCGCGATTTTTCAGGTATTTCGCTTTTTTTACCCAGAAGTAGAAAATAATCCTGTATGTTCAATATACTGTTTGAAAGAGCATGAAGAGCTCTTTCGAATGGTATATCAATTGCTCTATAACTTTACGGTATGGCGGCGCAAGAATGAGCGATGTTCAAAGAACCCTGTTCGCGTTCTTCAGGGCGCCACGCGTAGGGTTGTGGGAGAGGAGCGTTGACGCTTTGCCGGAATAATAGGCGAAGGTCGCTTATATAAGCGACGTTAACGTTGCAGCCTGCTTGTTGTTGATCGAAAAAAACCCAAAATTTAATAAAAGTCAAGCTGCCCCATTTTTTAGTGATCACCCTAATATATCGATCCAATTTTCTCTTGATTGTCTAGAACGCTTACGCTGCACATCCTCCTCAACAGCTTTTTCGTGACCCGTGCTTGTTACCGAAGTGTTAAAGTAAAGGATGAATCATTTATTTCAGTGAAAAATAATCACTCAGAAAGGAGTTTCTGGTCGAGTAGCGAGCCACTTTTTCAGAGCTGGATTTGAGTGAACTTTTACTGCATGAGCTTTGATCTGAAAATGAAAATTAGGAAAAAAGGTCATCATGCAGCATCAGCACTGAACGTACTTCTGGGAATCCATCATAGATACTTGGCATCTTCTTTGCAAACTCTGCACTGTGCTCTGCCAGGTAAAGATCGGCAAAAGTCAGTGAGTCTCCAACAAGATAACCTAAAGTAACACGATCAACTCAAGTTAGTGCTCCAGCAAGATTGAAATGCTTTAGGTTTCACATTTAATTCTGTTCTCTTGATATGAGAGCATAGTATATAGACTACCTCCATAAGTTTGAAACTGTTCGTTAAAACGATGAGAGCCGAAACCTGTCGGTAGTCTCTTTTTCTTATTATGGGAATGTTTGATTTATCAGATTACAACAAAAATTTGGATAGATTATAGGACGACGCAAGAATTTTGTTGTATCAAATTATTTTAATTTGTTTTTCATCATGTCTAACAAAAAATTATGGTTATGCTTTTTTAAACTCATGATTGAACTTCAAGACATCAAGAGTCTCTATAAAGCAGCACCAACTTTTCTACAACTGATCTAGCTCTTTTGTGTCCATTTTTATCAATCAAACAATATTCATTCCAACAAGCTTTTCCTTGTTGTTTTAGCAATATAAAGCTAAACCTATGCGCCTACGCTATCAACTTCATGGATACTGCAAAAAATGCACAATTGCAAAGCATGCTCCAGTTAAACCATCAACTGTCACAATGTAGAATTTTGTCTTGGAAAACGCGAACATCACGAAAGGTAGGAATAAGACACTCTCCTTTTTGGATACGAACTCTAGAAATCTGCCTGATTTATTCTGCTTGAGGAACTTCGTCATGAAACCAAAGAACTTGTCACGGGCTGGAAAGAGCACATCCTTGGCTAGCTTATCCTAAAAATAATAACATCGAGTCGGTACCATCAGTCATGTAAGGATTGCTATTTCCCTTGTAAATTGATAGGCAAAAACGGAACCGATAAATCGATAGTCTGGTTCTGGTTTATTTTCACCCTTTTCTACACACCTTATCTCCTTGTTCGAAACCCATAACCACTCTAAGGGAAGGACGGATTTCAGCTGTGAAGTCCTTGAACTGGTCAACGATAGAATCGACAACCGCTTCTTCGTACGGGGTTTTGCCGGCGAACCCTGAGCATTGGATCGTGTTCTTCAACAATAAGAAAAGATCGGCGGGGTGTTACCAAATTTTCTGGCAAGAAATCGAGCAATGGCAGCAGATTGAGCTAGCTGCTTACCATCGATATCCAGCACTGGCATTTGGCCGAATGGCATTTCTGTAACATCGACGGAAATAATTTTTTTCGAGTTATTTTAGCACTCACCAGCTTTGTGCTTCGGCCATTCCTCCTGTGTAAGTCGAACATCTTCGTAATCCTGCCCAGCAAGCGCAAAGATCTCAAAAAAAGAGTATTCGAGAAGAAAGCAGTAGACTAATTGTACCTGGCGAATGATTTCTGCTGATCCACGACTATCGAAGTAGGTGAGTTTGTAGTGAACCATTCTGGATGGATAGACATAAATTGGCACAAATATAAATTTTTTAAGCAAGAAGTGCACTGTCAGGAAAGAAGCAGATACGATTTTTCTTCTACGACCGTCCAGTACAGCACATCGTATTTTGGAAAGAACAACGCACAGTTACCCGATTCATGTGAGATCAACGTAGCGTGGCCGTACGTCTCTCCAGAATGGAGAATTCTTAATCCAAGAGCACCAAGCGACCTAGTTCAGTGTGGCGCATCTTCTGATATACAAAGTGCCTGTTTGGACACAGTAAGAGGCCACCGCGAATCATTTCAAATTTTTGCTTACCATAGGCGCCCAATGAGTACAGTGAATAAGCAAACTGAGTAACATACCATAAGCAAAAATCTGAAACGATTTGTGGAGTCTTACCGTCTACTGCTGTGTCCAAGCGGGCACGTTCATATAATGCGCCGCCCTAAGCTGAGTCGAACGATCCTTGTAAGGGAATTCGTCCTCTCTGAAGCGAGATATGTGCACGGTGCGGTGGTTCATGTCACATAAATCGGGAGACTGTGAGTCGCTCCTTGGAAGACTACGAGCGGTAATATACTTTGTCAAGCAAAGTAATAAAATAAAAGTAGTTTCTCTACCAAACAATTGCAAATTCATTCAATTTTCATTGAGTCATTAATCGTCCAATAACGTGACATGTATGAGAAAAAGTTATATTTGAATAACTTGAAAGGAAACTGAGTTAAGAGAGTAGTAAAATCTTTTCACATTAGGTCTATTATAGAAAGTGATTCGTGACATGCCAAAGTCAGATGCCGTTCTTTTTGACAGAATGCATACACTTGATTTTGAAGTTTATCATCAGTGCCCCTACAGCCTATCTGAAATCTTGATCTTTTTTAGAAGCACGTACAAATTTTAAGGGCTTATTGTCGCTTTGTTCTTCAGAATAACGTAGCTTTCTTGTGAGCAAAACAACTCTTTTAGTAAAAAAAAAGAAGCGTGAACATACGAGAGCAGAGAATGTCACGAAAGCAAAGTTTATGAAATGTCAAAACAATTATATAGTCTGCAGCAAAGTTTTTGGAAGAAAACGACATTCCTATGCTAGAAATGAAAATTGTACGTCGATATGCTTTCGTGCACAAAGTTCTAGTTACATTACCCAGACCGGTTTCGTATAGCACACTTGTTAATCATGTGTGTGTATCTGCACCACTACAACATCGATAACGATAGATATGTTGTCGTAACTCATAAACTATTTTATTGCTGTACAGGGTGGTCCACATGAAGAATGTGATGCACAAAAGCTTTCGTAACTTTGCCGGAACTCAATGAAATTAAACGATTTTATTTTCGTTTGATAGACAAGAAAATTCTGTATAAGATGCTATAGATTGTTTTTGAAAAATCCTCCTTCGGCTTTGGTGAAAGAGTTTGTTCTCGGAGAAAATTTCAAAATGCGCACAATGATTTTTTGCGGAACTTTGTCCCAGGACCTTCTTTCAACAAATTTAATAAAATGGATCTGGAAGAGCGGACGTTTTGCTCATAGATGGGTCAGAAAGAGAATTCGTGGTGAAAAAGTTCAAAAAATTAATTTTTTGGTCTATTCCATTTCATGTTTTGATGATAGTCGTCTTCTCCATATCGTTTTGTTCCGTTGTGCTTGTTACTGACTTCGGTTCTTAGTAAAACATGATCAAGCTTGAAGGTTTATCAAAGGCAGTCGCCATGACAACGAAAATCGCAATTTTTCGAGATTCTGGAAAAAGCACCAAAAGCAAACTTTGAAGGGCTGTGGCACTTTCTTGGATCAAAAGAAATACTATAGACGCGTTTGGGAACTTTCAGCATGACTGGAAACTAATCCACAGTGAAAAGAAGAAATTGCAGTTTTGTAAAATCCATCGTTTAAACACTGGAAAAAATGATATCTGTTCCTCTAACTCGCCCATCCTTGAACCCACAAACACTCTTTTCTATCTACCTGAAAGGGAAAAGTCTGCCTTTCAATACCTATGTCATTTGATTTGCCAAAAAGAAACCTGGTGAGAGTTTGGGAGCAGAAACCATCACGCGCAAATCGAAGAATTTTTGAAAGAGGTTTGAATGAGAAAAAACGATTTAAAATAACCAGGGCAAATATTCCAAAAGTTACTTAAAACTTCTTATACAGAATTCTTTTCTCTATCAAGGAGGACAAAAGCTTCTGATTTCATTCAGTCCTTGCAAAGTTATTATATTTTCTTGTTGTGTCACACTTCATGTGGACCACCCTGTATATAGCGCGAAAAGTTTACTTTGTGTAGAATATTTTGCTTTGATAACTAGGAGATTAATCCTAACTTAAACTATATATTCATGAGGATAACTACAACAAAGTCACATCCGCTTTCTATTGTTAAATCAAGAACAAAGCGCCATACGCTAACAGGAGACAAACTTCGTACTCTAATGCGGAGAAAAGAAAGCTTTTGAATGTGGAAAATTTGCAAAAAAACTTTGTTATCAAGCAACCTACTTCATTAAGTGAAGTCCAGCCCTAGACTACAAAGAGTGGAAGTCAAAAAATGGCTTTCTGCTTTTCTCACAAGCTCGATTAGGTGAAAACGCCATACAATCAGCAATTAGATATAATTTAGATAGGAGGCTGAAAGCTTGCTAAACAGTGGTATAAAAAATATTAAAAAAAATTTTCCTTCTTCCCTCTTCTGCATACTTGCACAACTCAAGGTACTGGTGGGAGGCAGGAATCTGAAACTTTTTTTCAAGCTTAGAATTTACAGGCATGGTCATTTCTGAAAGGCAACCTAAATAAAGGATCTTTTACATAGCTGAGACCAAGTCACTTCCCACAAAGTCACTTCACTTCTGTGCCCTCTCCAAGGTAAAACAAAGCAGTCATCATTACAAGGTTGGGGGAAAGTCTTTGAACATGGTTTTTTTAGCGTAATGATGAAGCTAGGCAAGGTGATTATATGAAATCAATAGGTAATGTCTACTTAACTGTCTGCTACACAAAACTGGCTTCACAATTCAAATATTTTCTTCTTTTAACGCGACCACAAGCTCGGAAGAGCTTGGCAACGCTGTCCATGGTGGCACGGAGGTGCTTAACGTCGATTTCTTTCAACGCCTTCTGAAGAGCAAGAGCAGAGACTCCACTGTCTTGCGTGGGTGAGCGCAGGCTTTGGCCTAAAGAACTGAGACCCTATAGTCGAGGGGATTCAGATTATGCGAAAACGGAGGCCGTTCCGCAAGAGTAGGGTAGACCTTAAAGTTGCTTTAGAGCCAAGTTTGAACAACCTTCGCTGTGTGCGCAGGTGTGATACCTGCTGGAAACACCAATCTTTCCCTGCAAAATGGATATTGGTCTAGGGCATCAGTCGCTTCTTCAGAATGCTATCCAACTACGTAGCAGCGTCCACCATGATTCCGTGAGGCGCAAAGATCAGTGGCATCCTGCCGCCGGAAGTGATCGCCACCCAAACCATCAGAAGAGCCGGATGAGGCTCTCCTTCGGCGAGTTAACCCCTGCTGATGACTCCTCAAAGCGATTAGGATATGATTCCTGGTGTTTTGGAGATTGAAAACCCGTTTTACAGTAAAAATTTTATCGTCAGAAAAGAGTGCCCTTCTGTGGCGTGCCTTGGAGAGACGTTCAAGCAGTCGATGGCATCTGCGCAGTCAGTTTAGCTTCGTGTGCTCCCAAAAAGCATGAAATTTTAGCATGCTTAAAAGCTTCATCGCAAGGCGCTCTTTTACGATGTTGGAGACTGTCCTGCCAGAGATGGAAGCTCTGAAGCCGGCTCAATCAAGCCTCGCCGAGGATTGCGACGAAGGCGTTGGCGAGCGATTTTCGGAATTTCGTTGCTGTCTGCAGTAGCCAATTTGCCACTCATACAACAGTCCTGGGCGCTGTTCATATCCTAGAAACGACGCAAGGCGGAAAAGACCCCGATCTTTAAAATTTGGGGAGCCCGCGCAATTTGCTGGTCCATCCTCTCCTCATGCATCTTCTCCATCAATGCTCGCTCCATTCCAGGAGGCATATCTCCGACAGGAAAAAAGATAATAGTCCAGTTTATTGAGGGCTTGTACTCAAGGATATAAGAAGTAAGTACATGTAATTAGCATGCAAAAAATTTGTAGAAAAGCCCAAACATACAAGGACATCAAAAATGGTTTAACGACTTTCCCCCAACCCTGTAGTTATGTCTTCATAACTCATGTACATCACTTGCAGAATCTTGGAACTTCTCGGAAGGAGAAATGGACATCGTATCCTCATCCTCCACTTATACATCAAACTTTTCTCCTTGATTATCTAGAACGCTTATGCTGCACACCTTTCCCAAAAACTTTTCAGTGACTCGTGCTTGTTACCGAAGTGTTAAAGTAAAGGATAACTCGTTTATTCTAACAAAAGAACGATCACTCAGAAAGGAGTTTCTGGTCGAGTAGCGAGCCACTTTTTCAGAGCTGGATTCGAGCGAACTCTCTCTGCATGAGCTTTGATCTGAAAATGCAAATTTGGAAAGAAAAGTTGCAGCTTTACATCAGTAATGAACGTACTTCTGGGAATCCATCATAAATACTTGGCATCTTCTTTGCAAACTCAGCACAGTGCTCTGCCAGGTAGAGATCGGCAAAAGTCAGTGAGTCTCCAACAAGATAACCTCAAAGTAGCATGACCAACTCAGATTCGTGCTCTTGCAAGATTGGAAATGCTTTGGATTTCACATTTGATGCTGTTCTTTTCATACGATAGCAAAGTTATGCAAAATACCTCCATAAAATTGGATAACGTTCCGTCAAAACGATGAGAATCAAAACCTGTCAATGGTCTCATTTTCCATTATACTAAAGTAAAAATTTGAATAGATTATTGGACGGCGCAGATATTTTGTGTTAATGTATTTGAATTTGTTTTTCATCAACTCTAACAAGAAGATTATGATTGTGCTGTTTCAACCTAATGTTGAGCTTTTCAAGACGTGTTTTGCATCATCAATCTGTTATGAAGCAGAATCGATGATGTATGCAATTGATCAGGCTGAGCTTGCCAATTATTATCAATCCAACAATGATCATTCAATTATGCTTTCCCTAATTATGATAAGAATCAACAAAGCTAAACTTGTGCGCCTACGCTATCAAATTCATGGATAACTTCAAAAGATGTACAATGGCAGAACACGCGGCATTCGCGCAATGAACACCATCCAAATCCAAATCCAGTAAACCACCAACTTTCCCGTATGGAATTTTGTTTGGGAAAACTCGAACATCACGAAAAGTAGAAACAAAACACTCTTTTTTTGGATTATACGAACTCTGGAAACCTGCCTGATTTATTCTCCTTGAGGAACTTCGTCATGAAACCAAAGAACTTGTCACGGGCCGGAAAGAGCACATCATTGGCTAGCTTATCCTGAAAATGATAACATCGAGTCAGCCATCAGTCGTGTAAGGATTGACCATGTTCGTTGTGAACATCTTCAATTTCAATTTACCCTTTTATACACACCTTATCTCCTTGTTCGAAACCCATAGCTACTCTCAAGTATGGGCGAATTTCAGCAGTGAAGTCCTTGAACTGGTCAACGATAGAATCGACAACCGCCTCCTCATACGGGTTTTTGCCGGCGAGCCCTGGGGAGCGGATTCTGTTTCTACTAATGATAAGAATAGATTGGTGAGTCTTACCAAATTTTCTGGCAAGATATCGAGCAATGGCAGCAGATTGAGCTAGCTGCTTACCGTCGATTTCCAGCACTGGCAATTGTCCGAAAGGTGTATCTGTAACATATCGGTAGATTTTCTCAAATTTCTTCGTAAAGTCAAAAAACTACTCACTAGCCTTGAGTTTTGGCCATCCTTGTTGAATGACACGAACATCCTCAAATTTTTCCCCAGCAACGGCAAAAATCTGAAAATTTGTGCTAGGGGGGTTCACTGCTATCTTCGCCGAGCAAACTCACTTGTCGAATGATCTCAGCAGTACCGCGGCCATCGAAGTATGTAAGTCTGTACTGCACCATCCTGAATTTTTACGATTTATCATGAAATCATTAGTGGCATATATATATGTAAATGTAATCATAATCAATAGCATTCGAGTAAAAACCTCTTGATGTAGGTTTGAACTCTAAAGGATTCGAGCACAGCGTGTTATCAGGCCTGATCAAGTTGCTTAAGTACCAAAATCTACGAAAAAAGAATGATAAGATAAGTCGTCAGCGTTGCAATCTTAGCAGAAACAAAGAACATTCTATAACACGCTTAGAGAAGTTTAGGATGCGTGGCCCGATTGAGTCCTTTACCAAAATAGACAAGAAAGCCTTTTACAATGGAGCTTTTTGCAACCTAAATGTGTATTGGGCACATGGTGTGCACCAAACTTCCAATCTATGGAAATTTTTCTGATTTTCTCTTCTTGCTGAGCAGATGTTGTGGAAACCATGAAGTAAGTTACTGGCTTTGTTAAGAATTTTAGTAAAATCGTTTATTTTGTAAACAAGAGTAGCGGAGTAGCGGTGGTGTGCGAGTTTACACATTAAGTTACAAGTAGCTCGACTTTTGTAAAACTCTCTCTATGCTCTGCGGTTAAAATGGAAATATATGTTGGGCTTGAACCTTTCATTTTTTTCAAAGTCGGAAACGAATCTGTCAACCTTTTAAAATCGCTATTTCTGCTACCGGTACCGAGAAGTCAAACAATGAAAAGTGTGCTTTTCTTGAGATTGTCGTATATACTTTATAGTAATAACATGAGTTTTATAGCATTATGTTTCAAATTTTTAGACTCAAGAAATCACCTACATTTTGATACAAGGTCATAATCACCCTTGATTGCATATTTATCAACTTTTGCTCAAAAACCCCCTTCAAGCAAACATAAATAACCTCAATTCACGATAGCTTGAATTTTGAACCAAAGTTGTTACAGTGACTTTGATGGTAATTTTCAAATGAGAAATACAAACTATGAACAACAGCACACTTGAGTTCATTTTTGAACGCAGCTTACTCAGTCCTTGGCTATCTTGCGAAAAAAGGCGATAACTGATAGCTTATCAGGGAAGAAGTTGACGTGCGTGCTTGCCGAAAAGATGACATTTCAGATCTTAGACGCAGTTTGCAAATTTGATTATGTATCCTTTGCAAAATCTCTAGTTGGTTTTAGGCAAATTTCCTTGGTGAACTATTCCCCTTTCCACTACTCATTCACTCATTCTCGTCATGCCAATCAAAACGTAGTAAAAAAAGCTCATTATGCACTAATTATAATCACGAAAGCGGCAACTGGTATGAGCCACAATTAAGTCGGACCAAGGTTCGATCCTACTCTGGGCAATGAAGCCCTCTACCTTCGGAGACGGTAAACTGGCACCACTAGGAAGAGCTTATATCTTGATATGGCTGATCCTCATTGCAGAATTCAGCTGCCCCTACAATATTACATAGCGAAAAACCTTTGGTGCACGAAATAACGGTAAAAAATTTTTGGGCGTCCGTTATGCAATTAGGGAGCATTTCTTGCTCCAAAAAATACGAATATTCGAGAATTCTGCTACCTGCTAAATCACAATTTCACAAGCTACGATGCCGCTCACAGAAAATGCAAAACCTCCTTGAATGTCGCAGAATTCGAGGAATTTCGCGGAAGTCCGCGATCCGGTAATTTGCGACATTTCGGCAATTCCGCGTCTCTGGGAATTTCACGGAATCACGCGAACCACGCAAACTTCGCAGCGCCATAACTTCCTTTGGAATGAGTATATACTAAATCCGAAGGAAATTGTGTTTATCTCATTCAACAAGTCTTCTGCTTCACTGCATGTGCTTGATAGTCCGTTTCCATTTTCTCAAATTTTTCTGCGGACGTCTTGGAAGCAAGGATGTAACGCAGTGCGCATTACATAAAAGAGCCAGTAATCAGTAATCATTAATGCTGTATCAGTAGACTATCAAGAGCTGGAAAGCAGACGGAAACTCCCTTTCAAAAAACATAGAAGAACCTGGGAATATCATGTGCCCCAAATTCTGCTCACCATAATCCCAGAATAGTAGGTCGTTTCAAAAGTAATTTCGCTTTTTTCAAACGGGCACTACATTTGACGGAACAAAGGTTTCTAAGAGATCTTGGATGCATTCGATGCAGCATTTCATTTTCTTTCTAAAGGTTATGAACTTGCTGCAAAACAGTCAATGAGCTTTCGGAAAATAACCAAAGTCTGCGACCTATGCTTTTTGAGATAGTCAAGTTTCACAATTTTTTAAAACTGTTACATCAATTCTCCGAAAAAGTGCAAGTAACGCCTTTATAGAGCAAACCCTACAAAATGCAAAACTACTTTTTTCTCCTTTTCATAGCTTGTCATAGATTTTTAACGGAATTTTAACTGATGCTACCGATTTCCATACTTGGGCAGCTAAATCCTCGTAGAACGACAAAAGAAGAGCAGCTCGCGCACTATTCAATGCAGCATTTTCTCCTCTTTCTGACAGGTGTTTTTTTTTGTTTCCGATTCGTTTAGTTTCCAGGGAGAAATCATCATAACTTTTTTAGCGAGCCCCAAGCTGTCCCAGAAAAACTCGACATTTGATATTTCGAATCCGTAAACCCTCACTTGCTTTGTAAAATTAATGCTTACTCACAGTAACATCTTGGTAGTCTCAAATTCCGAAAAATTATGATGTTTGATGCGATTGTGGCTGAGCTGAGCAGGTCAAAATCCGATGGTTCTGTTAAAAAATCTTTTAAAAAATTACGGCGAGCTATGAGAAAGAGAAAAGAGCTGAACTGTACTTTATAAGGTTTGCTGTATTGAATCGTTTCTTGAACTTCTTCCGAGGATTGATATGAAAGTTTTAAAAAATTGTGAAACTTGACCATTTCATAAATTATGGGTCGTAGATTTTAGTTATTATTGCAGCAATTTCAAAAAATTAAAAAGAGGATGAAATGTTGCATCGAATGCTACCAAGATCTCCTAGAAATCTTTGTTCCATCAAATGTGGCACCCGTTTGAAAAAAGCGAAATTACTTTTTGAAACGACCTAATATAAAGCTTTTCTGCTAAGCAAATGTGATATTCGTAATCAGCAGGTATTAATCTGATTATCTGATTTTTCTCCTTTTACGCTCTGAAGCTCGCTGATGGATTTTGGTCGAGGATCTGATAATCTTGGATCGTATGGCCTTAGCTATACCTCACGCGAAGATTTTTTTACATGAATGCTTCTTAGTTTTTATTACATCTGTGCATCAAACTGCATAATATCGATTGATTAAGTCCAAAAACGGGTTATCTGCTGACTTCATACACTCAGCCTACAATTTGCTCTAGGTTTATAAATAGCTAGTGAAGTGAACCTTCACAAATGTATGGAAAGAGTGGAAAGCAACAGGGGAAGTGGGTGGAAGTGCTGAGAAGGCCTAAAACTTTGGCTTCTACATGATACAGTTACAGAACATACAATAACGCTCACAGAATGTGCAAAATTTCCGTGAATGTCGGAGAATTCCGGGAATTTCGCGAAAGTTCGCGGAATTCCCGGAATTCTGCGACATTTACGGAAATTTTGCACATTCTGTGAGCGGTATTGTACATATCGATAGTACGGGTCAGAAGTCACGATTTTTCGCGAAGCGATGCCGCAAAGCGACGTCAACAGTACAGACCTCAGTGCCGTTAGTACTCCTGCCGCAATGCTACTTATGGCATCAGGTCATGTATCTGCCACCCCCCCCCCACCCCTATTGTGGCGCCGTGCCACTTTAGCACCAGAGAGTTTCTGTGAGGCACAAAATTTGGGCGCGGATGGATGGAGCAAACGTGTTCCAAGTGAGCGGCGCTTGCGAATCCGACAGCTGACAGCACCGGCAACATCGGATCTTTCTACATCTGTAACAGTTGCCGGAACGTACGGCCGAACCCTTGAAAAAATAGGTGCGGCTTGCAAACCTGAAAATAGGGTAGTGATACATGCATATTACATGTGTTAAGTATGAGCTTATCTTTCTTGCCTTTAAGTATATTACTGTAGATGTGTTAGTAGCACTTTGAGGTGAGGATTTATGCATAAGCAGTCTTTCAACTAGCCAATTCTACCGTTAGCTTAGAAATACTTTCGAGCTTCAAATAAATTAGCGTTTGATGTAATGGCTGCGTATAGATTTCTGTCTCAAATCTCAATTTTGTATGGAATTTGCTACAATGAAACTGGTGTCAATGAACGCCGTTTCTATGACATCTCCCGTGTGCTATGAAAAGTCTCTCCAATCTTTGCAGTTGTAGTTTTTATTGACAAAACCTTTTTTGGGTAAGCAAATAATTTTTCAAGGCGGAAGATCACACATAGACACATAAAGCACCATAACTTGTGTTGAAGCAAACATACAAAACACCAAGTTTGACTTAATGGACGATGAAAACGTTCTGACACCACAAAATCTGCTTGATCAAATGAGATAGCCAAAAAGATTACATTGCTAACTATTCCGTATGAATGGACGTAAGACCAAGCACAAAAATTCGTTTGCCGTTTCTATTTCTCCATTTTGTTCAGATAAAAGCTAAAACGCTTTATGAAGTGTCTACGCTGAATTCACGCAAAGTCTTTGAGAAAGCAAAATGTAAATTAAAAATATTTAACAAATTGAATGCATTAGTAAAAATAAAACAACAAAATTTTAGACTTACTCTGTGTAAATATGTATTGTTTATTCGTTGACCGTAACGACTGCTGACCGCGCGGCGACCACTGCGCATGCATGATGTTTTCGTAGAAAAGATGAATAGAAAGAAAACAGAGGATTCTTTTCATCTTTATAATGTAGAAAAGAAACAAAGAATTCTTTTCATCTTAAGCCACGGTCCAACTTGTCACTTTTTCGCAAGTTTAGAAGGCACGCGTCGCAGTCGCCACGCGGTCGGCAGTCCGTACGGTCAACGAATGAACGATATAAGCTCCTGCAAGACGAAGGCGATCGGTTTGATAGTGACGTGGTTGTGACGCGGCTGTGACGCGGCTATGACGCAGCTGTGTCGCAGCCGCGTTGCACATCGAACCGACCGCCTTCGTCTTGCAGGAGCTTATACCTAATATTAGGTTGTCCCGATTGTCGGTTTTTTCAACCTATAAAACCTATAAAACCACGCACAATAAAGACTTGAATGAGACTCAACATGCATTGATACATCTTTTTCTCCTCTTTCCTATGTTCAAATTTCTGCTTTCTTTCTCATTTTTTTTTCACAGTCCTGCATGTTTTCTTCGATAGGTGTGAATCATCTGTCAGCTACACTACCTGGATTCTTTCTGCTCACCATAAAGATTCATACCTTTTCACTCATGCATTCACACTTTTGCACTCCATGTTTCAAAAATTTGTAAGTATTTTCAATACCGAATTTCTATAACAAACAAAAATTCTATATCATCTACAGACGCAAAAAGAAATCACTTAGACATGCTTTTAGAAGAAAAAAGAAATAAACAGCGGAATATTCATAATTTCTCTTTAGGCGGGAACTGAATGGCTTCGTGATCTCTGAATGAAGCCCATTGCATACCCTCCTACATCGCATACACAAAGGCGGACATGTTGAGAGGCGCCTCAGTCCCGGAGGGAAGCACCCCCATAACTTCTTCTACAGAACGGTTCCGCAGCTAGAAACGGCAGATTTCGAATTAGCGTTCAAGCGCTTCACGATGATATATGCCTCATCCTAATTGGCTGATCTGACTTGGGAACTTCCCCTGTAAGTACATGAAGAAATTGCCAATCAAAACAAAGTTAAGCTCTGCTTACATGTGATTGAGTATATTTGTAAAGATGTCGAGTAGAAGTTTTTTACTTGTACTTTGCCAACAAGATCAATATGTGAAAGCTGACAAAAGATTCACGTTCAGGAGCTAGAGGTAATGCCAACATGAAGGGCGGTGGTAAGGATAGCGGGTACGAAGATATTAGGTATGTATTTACACAGAGCAAGTCTAAAAACTTTGGTGTTTTATTTTTACTAATGCATTCAATTTGTTCAATCTTTTTAATTTACATTTTGCTTTCTCAATGAATTTGCTTGAATGCGGCTTATACACTTTATGGGGCGTTTTAGTCATCTGAAAAGGCAAACGAATTTTTGTACTTGGTCTTACATCCACTCATTCGGAACAGTTAGTAATGTGATCTTTTTGCCTCAACCGGATTGGTCGAGCTGACTTGGAAACATTTCCTTGTTAGAGACACCAAGTTTAGGAGTCTGTTCACTCTTACAAAGCGGACCTTCATCTAGAAAAGCAAAAATCGGGGGGGGGGGGGGGCGGCCTACAATGTCAATGTGGTAGTGAGGTAAATATAGTGAGTAAGAATTCATTAGAATGTTGCTGTAAGAAGGAAAACTATGCTCACAAGGAGCCGCACAAACTTATAGAACAAAAAACAAGTAATCAAAGTTAAGCTGCATTTGAATGCGTTATTGGTTTCTGATTTCGAAGACGATGTTAGCGCTCCTCGTCTCGCGAACTAAATGGATATAGTTGCAGCGTTTTGTCAGGAATCCGCAGCCTTTGAGAGGAGCTAAATGCCTTGTAGTCTCCGCTCTTTCTCTTTTGTTCGCCCGCGCCTCTACTTTTCGTGCGCTGACTCGTTATCCTTCAGGTCTTTTCTCCTTATTTCAAATTCAATCCAGGCCTAACCATATTGGAGATCCTGAAGCCAACTGACACTTTGACAGCGTCGCCCAGGTAATTTATCTGCACGAGAACTCCGGCAAAACTCTATTTTTGGAAATCATCCTTTTTGTTCCCAATTGAACTCTGTCGGAAAGTTTTCCCTCTATTCGATGCATCTAAATTTGCTTGCAATTTGATCAAGGTCGCTTAAATCACTTTTTCAAGCGAAATAACAAACCGCTGCAGAACCAGCTTTTTCATAGTTCTTAAGTAACTTTGTAGAGATAGAACTCTCGTTTTCATAATCAATTTTTTTTCTATTTATCGTTTTCTTTTTTTTAAGAGTCGACCGCTCCGAACTACTTGCTTACAGAAATTACAAAAGAGAGATCAGCTTTTCCTCCTTTATGCAGATATCTAAACCAAAAGTTTTGGGGGAAGTCCGGCTGCTCGAGTAACAACGTTTGATCGTGTTTCAACAGTCTTTTATGTAATTGCTACTTCCGTTCTCTTCTTTTTCTTTATTCCAATTTTTTCAGATAATATATACGTTTTAGGTTTAAAGATTCGAACAAGTTTAGTTTTTACGCACCTCTATAATGTTGATGGTATGGCTGTTATCACGAAGTCAGAGTGCCAACATCACTCGATCTCACCCTGATCAAGATGCAACGTGTGATTAGCAGTTATAGACTCTATTACACTTGCTACTCATAATGCTATAAGGTGTTACGTCTAAGAAGCTATCAACATCGAAATCCTTGTAAGTTTGCTGCTTTTTTCACCTGCCTAAACCTTGTTGTTAACCATACAGGAATGAGTTGTTGTAATTCACCTGTTACGATACATGAAAAACACACCGTAACATTCTTGTTATCATCATCGTCTACTAATCTCAAGCTCTCCCATCACTAATCATCACCAACTATTTCAGTTAATCATGAACATTTTTTCTAAAGTTTTGAACTCATTTGAACAGATTGATATTCCTCTCCATAATGTCACGTCTACGAGAAAAAGACTAGGTCAGCCTATTTCAGAACAGTTTTATGGTTTATAGGAACACTATTGTAAAGATCAGGGGAAGCCATGCTTGATCTACTCGAGGTGGTGTTCAAGAACAAAACAAAGTAGTCACACATTGTTTTGTTTTGTTTTATTTCCCATTGTATCATTATTTGGAATCCGACAAAAAGCGTTTACAAGATGGATACAACCGATATATTGGCTGCTGTGCTACTGATTATTGTGAATTTTCACTTTTTATTTTCTCACTTTTATGAAGGCATAATTTAAGTTTGGACTACCTGCTCTTTACTTCAATATGCTACTAGTGCTTCCTACTTTTGGTACCATGCGACCATTCGAGCTTATTTGTGCTTCTCATGCTGTGGGCAACTTAGTAGCCACAACTGCTATAACTTTCTGTTCAGTCCCATCGATTTGTTTGTATGTTTGTGAACAAAACTTTCACATTCATACCATGAAAACAAATCTTTTTCCAGCAGCTCAAACAACAAAGTTATTTCACGGCTAAGTGGGAACTTAATTCGTTATGGCTATTTTCTTGCGAACTACACGCAATTTATGCTGGGTGAAACATTCTTTGAGCAAATATGAGGTTTATCGGAAGAACAAAAATTTAGCAATAAATCGCTTTATCGCTATATACTTCACAAAGCAGTATGGTAAAATTTTTTCTACTCCGAACACAGGGAGGATTTTGGTTATACTCATGTTCTGCTTAATACCGTATTTTTTTGTGGGCTTTTTTGGTAGAGTTTACCTCCTTATCATTGAAGTCGTTATTCGATTCACGTTTATCCCCTTTCTTGCAAGGCAATGAACGTTTCTTGGTGCATAGCAATTAAGATACACTTCTTTTTTGTCTACTTTATATCAACACCTTAGCAGTGACTAACAATGTGCCCATTCTAATTTTTGAAGGCCGTGAATGCCCAAAGTTCCTATTTAAAAGACGATTCAAATCACAGCAACTATTTATAATACATTAAATCAGCCCCATTTCTCAATGTTTTGCAATAAATGAAGTGGTTATTGGCTTTGTTGCCTAGGGTAAATGATTGGTTTGCAGAGGGATGCGCATTTTATTTTGTATTGGACACACTGCAGTTTTCGTTTGAACGGGCTCCATGCGGATTATTTTTCACTCAATATTTCCTCTTTTATTTCTCTACATTAGTATTCGCTTCTACGAGCGCGCTTGATCTTCTCACTGCCTTGGGTATATATTGCTATTACAAGGTAAGCTTATCATTGAGTTCTTGTCCGAAATGAATTTGAAGCTGGCTTGTGGATATGAGATCTAACACGGATCACCCTAAGCACTGGACCATTTCGTTATATCAATATTGTTTTGTAACAACTTCTTGGTTCCACGAAATGATTTAGAACAATACCATGGCTGCGAGACGATTCAATCACAACGATGTCATGTTCTTCGCACAGGTAAAGTCTGCTTTTACGTGCTATAATGATGACCATGTTCAACTAAAAATATGTGCTGAAATTTTATCTTTTTTTTTCCACAGCTTACTAGAGAGGAGAGTCCTATAGCGTCTCACGTACCACACGACAACTTCTCCTATTGATCAGGTCGAAGGTGCATGCAATCCTTACGGCATATAACCACAGCTCTTTGGGAACTTCTACTTCGTGGACTTCTGTAATTTGTTGCATCGTGGTTGTTTTGCAAGCAGCGTAAATCTATTTCAGTAATCTCTAATCTTTCAGCCAACATCATTTTTACAATTACCTATCCAAAACCTACGTTCTTGGCACATGCAGTTTGAGCGTATCAAGATCCATTCAACTTTGAGTGCTTGTACTTGACTACACGGTGCCAATTTTGAAATTCAAGGTTTCCACTTTCAACTAAAGTCCTGCATTTCTAATTCTGATCAGGCTCCAAAACTACAAAATGATGATTGGCTGAAATCGGGCTTGGCAACCTTATGACTGAGATTATGAGAAATAATGGAGAAGGCACTATAGAGGCGTGCAGGATCGCGAGAGTCGGACGTGCGTACGGCCATTGCGCCGCGTACGTCCGATGTCACTAAGGCAGGCGTGCCAGACTTATCCGCTTCAGCCGGTTCGTTCTTTTCATAGGTCAAAACATTATACTGTCCAACAGCATAGGTGGTGAACTGAATGAACCTGTTCAAACAGGATAAGCCTGGCACCTACCTGAGTAGTCGGACGCACATCCGACGTGCGCGGCGCAATGGCCGTACGCACGTCCGACTCTCGCGGTCCTGCAGGCCCCTATACCGTACGTATTTCATGATTTTCAAAAAATATAGAGGATTCTTATCTTATATATAAAGCTGAATGTCTGTTTGTATGTCTGTCTGTCTGTCTGTCTGTCTGTATGTCTGTCTGTCTGTGTGTACGTATGTTCCGAATAGAAAATTCCATTTCTTAACCGATCCGGACCAAACTTGGCACACATACACTTCGGGCCCCGGCGGGTGTCACAGTCCACTTTTCGTTATCGATCGATATCGATTTAATCGATTTTTTTGCAAAATTTGAGCTACGGGGATGGGAGTTGGCACAGGGGGGTAATCGAGCATGCTGATCACCCCCGTGGGGGTGATCGGCATGCTCAATAACATCCCCCTGCCAAATTCCAGCCCCCTAGCTCAAATTTTGCAAAAAATCGATAAAATCGATATCGATCGATAACGAAAAGTGGACTGTGACACCCGCCGGGGCCCGAAGTGTATGTGTGTCAAGTTTGGTCCGGATCGGTTAAGAAATGGAATTTTCTATTCGGAACATACGGCGGAGCCGGGTAAGCCAGCTAGTGATTGATAAAGAATATGGTCTTCCTGGTCTTCTCCGCGTTCAAAATCTTATGTGGGAAGTCTGACAAATTAGTATATGCGTATTTATATCTATAATACGTAACGTTGAGTTGATGCAAAATTAGTAAGCGTCTTGCAAAGTCTCACATTGACTTGCTACAGCTTTCTAAAAAAAATCGTAAATCGACACTTCTAAATGCGATAGAGAAGTAACGAGCCTTTTTCAATGCAACTCTCATTGACATACTCATATCGCTAATCGGCACAGAAAGATATGGCTTGCAGGCAGCGTCCAGGCAAGTTCTCGACTTCTATATTTTTATGTTGTCCAGGCCTTTCCATGGCGCTGATTCCGGATATGGAACTCAAAAAGCGTGAATTTCTCAGAAAACCACCTTTTCGGGCTGTTTTGGGAAAACCCGGACGAGTGCTTCTGATGTTATCCTTGTCGAAAGCAAGTATTAACAGGTAAACGCTGTAAGCGACTGTGTTGGTCATGTGAAAACACGTCAAGGCTTAGGAGATTTCGTTCATAAGGGGTTGGCCGTCCGAGGAAGTGGGCGTGGCCGTTGACTCGCATCTGCCTGGACGCTGCCTTTGAAACAAAAAAAATTTTATATTCGAAACGCAGTGTTTGGCAAATCGTAACTCCCTTTAAGTTTCGTCAGTATCAATAATAAGCAGCCTGTCTTGTAGCCAGTAGTACAAGTGGGGGTAAAAGGACTTGAACAAAAGAGATTTGCAAAAAGAAAAAAATTGAGATCTAAAATTGTTACCGCTTTTTGACATTCTTCAGAAGGCCTCAAAACTGCGATACATGAATTTTTTTTAATTCCCTATGTGCTGAACACATTGGTGTTTTTGCAAAGACTGTCGGTAGAATGCTCTACCCTTGCGCCTACAGAGACATCGAAGACTTGGCGACAACTTTCTTTAAAAAAACATGTGGGCCATAAATGATCACAACGACTAACCCATGTTGAGGCGACGATTTATAAGTCTAGATAGCATCAGAAGATACAGTAAGGTTTGCGTATGTGCAATATCCACTACATTCAGCAGCTGATTTTTTAAAAGAGGGCCATCATTCGCAATTGAAATCTGGTCAAAATTTCGTGTAGTTTTCGTAGGTTTCAAAACCTGTTTCAACCATTGTTAGACCGAGCATAAAAGAGCTTCTCAGTGGTATCAATTCTGTTGTAGAAAGAAGAAGTTTGATGAAAAATTGCTCTGAAAGAAGTCTAGAATAACGCTTATACTCTGCATCAATCTAATGTATCAACTGCACTGAACAAAGTATGAAATCATGGAAAAATTACGTGATTGAGGGAGCGTGCATAAAATTTTTGAAGAGAAAACGCACCGTTTTTTCGCCTATTGCTTCACCTACCGTGAACATGTTTTCACTTTCAGTGCTTGAACATCGACGTAATTGTTGCAAGTAAACAATGAAGTAAGGAACTTTGCATTACAGCAAGTTAATAAAATTGAGAAGAACAGAGTGCCTCCTTGAGCAATGCAGTGAGGCTGACACCCAAAAAAACTCGGAATGCCGCAGTGTCAATGATAAATTTTTTTTGAAGACCAAAAAAGACATCCTCACTTAGCCTAACGAAAGCATCTTTAAATGTTAACTACAATGCTTCGTGACCCTATTGAACTCATTTTCGCATGTGTAACAAGAAAACACTTCTTCCATAGATGCTTTAAGCAATACTTTTTAGTAGAAGACTAAAGTTCTAGGAAGATTTTACCAGCATGTAGTAATTTCAAAGTAGATCAAATTAATGTAAAGAGCAGGGAATTTTTATGTAACAATAGGTGAGCCGCATAAAAGTAACCGTCGTTTTGAACGAGAAAAGTTCGTTTACGTCCTTCACCTAAATGAGTGATTCCAATCTTCGTTGCGTAAACATGAGAGACTACCGTTTTGCACTGCAGTGTGCCCTGAAGCTATTTGCGGATAGCTGCTGCGCGCTACTGATGCGAAGGAAATTTCTCTCCTATCTAACAACCTCGGCAGAAATGAACGCAGAGTGCGATGAACACTTTGCACTTTTGCATGAAACCTCAAAATCGCTTACTGTTGTGCAAATCAGCGCTCTCGCATACGCATGGGACTTGTCATATCCTTGTCTTTGCGGTGTATACGACTCTTTATATATCACATAAGATAGGAAGTTTTTTGAAAAGCTATGCTATCTCTTCATAATTTTCCATGGCCCTAATTTGTTGTAAAATTTTCCGTTGTTCGCACCCATCTCTTACAAGAAAAGGATAGCTGGTCGAAGTAACCTGGTTTGCATACCATTTCAAAGGGAATAAAACGCTGATTCCAAATCTGTCTTCCGTGTGTGCGGAGGGTTCATGGGCGACGAGTTATGGGTGTTCACTGGAGCAAAGAATTTGGTGATTTTGTAGGATTAATTCAGTCGCTAAAATTTTCCTTCTACTCAAAGGAGGCAGCAGAGTGGCTGTATTTTATCTAAGAGTATTTATTGCATAAAGCGCTTTGATAATTCCCACTGCTCATTCAAACGTTAGGAGAAGGCTGCGACAAATTTTTTTATCTTACTTCCATCTTTAATCTCTCGCTTCAAGAAACTTTTATAACTCCTTCCATTAATGATACCCAAATAAGAGAGACAAATTTAGAAACGGTGTATAACCTTCCTTGTTAAGATGAATATGCTTTTCAGCTTTTTCGAACAGAAAAGTTTAAAATTAGGTTGCTTTCTTTATTGCTTTTACCTTCTTCATTGATTTTACAAAAACAAGACATACCTTCTTCTTGGTCGGTGAGCACCTCCGCTACGTTATTGTTACCTCTTTATTATTTATCGTCGAATTGCTGCTACCCTTCTCTGCGTCTCTACCGGCGCACGTACGGCTAACATGTTGGCAGTGTTAATATCAAATTTTCATGCTGTTCTTCAGGTTGACAGCCGAAAGGTTTCACCAATATTGTTCACTATTGAACAATGTGGTAAAACGTTTTGGCTGTCAACCTCAAAAGCAGCGTCCAGGCAGAATCTCGACTTCCATTTTTCCTTATCCAGGCCTTTTCATGGCGCTGATTCCAAATATGACACTCAAAATGCGTAAATTCCTCAGAAAACACCATTTTTAAGACAGTTTTGCGAGAACCTTGGACGAGTGCTTCTGATGCTATCTTTGTCGAAAGCAGCATTAACAGGTAGACGTTATGTGTTCGATTGTGCTTGGCACGTAAAAACACGTTAAAGGCTGAGGAGAGTTCGTTCCAGGAGACGGGCCCAGGGCTCAGCAGAGGTGGCGCTTTTACAGGCTGGATATCGTTTTTAAGGGGAAGCAAAAGGGAACCCGTAGTTCTTCACCCCAAAACCTGACAAAATATTTAAGGCAACCTCTAATTCAGAAAGCGTGTACAGCGAAAGCGTGTGACCATCTTTATTATGCGAAAGAGAATCATCAGTTAAAACATTTATTGCATTTGGAACCAGTAGCTTTGCGCAGGATGTGGAGCGGGAGTGGGGACACGATGTGGAGCGTGGACCATGGCAGCAGCGGATAGGTGGCCATGTCGGGGACGAGGAACTGGTCGTTCGGGACGACCGTCGATAATCGAATGCTTGCCGAGTTCGCCGTCTGATCCGCCCAGAATATGTTGAGTCAGCTTGGAACAACATAGCTGCGAAGGAATGCATAACGCGTAGCGCTGCACTCATACCCTCACAACTCTGGCATCTTACTATCACGACTCTCACCTCTCACAATTCCTAGCAAGTTGGAATTCAAAGTATAATGTAATATTACCTGTTACAGGTAAATTAACAAGTCACAAACACTACAGTTCATAAACCTGCGTATACACGATTTTAACGTGTCAAAACACAATCTTTAAGCACAAAAATATAAACAACCGGTTTGTTTGCAACGAGTAAGCATTGTTGAGTCACCAAATTTGGTGTGTACATCCGCAGCGATGGTCAAAAGAAAAGTACGAGAAATTACGAAAAAATTATGTCAACAAGAGTTGTAAGTGTTTTTCGATTTTAGGTTGGCCGCGCAACCTGGGAGCACGCTGAGGTTGCGCAGAACCAGACCAAATCACAAATCTTCAAAAATTTCCTCCATTCTCACATAAATTTTCAGATTTTTTAACGTAAACCTATTCCTTAGATCAAGCTCTACCTAGAGTGCTCACCTCTACCCAAGTTTCGTCACCTGCGCTTTGTTACGGCCTTTGATGGGACAAAAACTGCCTTTTTTTTCGCATTTTGCTCTTTAATGTTAGATTTAATTCTTGTCTTTTTTTCAATTCAATTCACTTCTTATCGTTGCATATTGTTCAAAAAATATCTCGTAATTTCTGCAATGTCAAGCGAGACTTTGTTTTTGAATTTCTCGTATGCCACCTCGTGCTGGGCCCTGAACGGGCCGTGCGAGGCAGTGAGTCCTCGAGGCTCGGCGTTTTCTGCGCCAATTTTTTCTTTTGTAGGGTGTGTTGAAAATCAAATTTGCGCGATAGTTTTAGATCGGGGCCCTGTACTCAAAAACGCCCTTTTTGAATACCTAGCTCAAAAAGCTAGTATTCAAAAACGCCCGAAAATATGCCCGGACGCTATCTTTAAGGATAAAACATGTTACTGCATATTGCTAGCATGTTAGCCATGTGCGGCGCAGTCCAAAAACGTAGAGCAAGGGCAGCCTTGTAGAGTGGCGATATGCCCCAGAGATTCCAAAATTTTTTGATACCCTGCGGGATGCGCTAAACACGTTTTACTTCATAGAAAGCTTGGAAGGGTCCTCTATTCCTCCACTTCACCTTTCTCTCCTATGGACAGCGAGGAGAATGCAAGAGAAAGATAAGCTAAATACCGACCGTTCTCAAAACATTGCGCGCTGGTTCGCTCAATGGCGCAAATTGAAATTGAATCTAGATTGCGCCGCTAATGAAAATTTTCTAAAAGCTATAAGAAGCGTAGGCGAAAAAGACTGTAACCGTTTTGTGCTAGTATGAGAACTTTTGAGATGCAAATACAATCTGAAAATTACAAAAAAAAATGCGTGAGCAAGAAGTGAGGTCTAGCTCAACTGTTACTTAGTTGAATGGTTCCAGCTAGTTCGAGGAAAAATTGAGCAAGACTTTCATTCACAGAAGTTCCCATAAATCTTAGGAGTCACATCTCTATTCATCAAGCGCACGGACTGGCCGTCACAGCGACGCACGCGACGCGCTGTAAAACTCTTGCCCCGATACAAATCGCAAGCACACAAGTCGTGGTCCCGCAACGTTTTAGGAGCTCGGCATAGCCATCTTACAAGGGAAGGAAGGTTAGTCGAAGTAGCCTTTTGAAATGGGATGTATACTGCCTTGTAGAGCTTGGAACGCTGATTCCAAATCTACCTTTGCTATCTGCTGCGGGCTTCTGGGCGAGGAGTTATGAAGGTTTTTGTGAGTAAAAATCTGAATGCAAGAGTAGGTTAAAATTACCCTATTTTCCGGAGTATAAGCCGCATTTCTTTTCACCGCGCGCGGGCTGAAATGCGATGTCGTTCGCGATGCGCGAAGCCGCACAAGCAACAACTACTATCCCAGTAACATCATTGAAAGAAGGAAAGCACACATCCGTATCATTTAGGAAAGAAAACACAAACTAAACGCCCGCAAAGTCACATGAAACAAGAAAGAAAGTCTAAGCATTCTCACTATCATCAAAATGACTATCAGACATGACTATCCGTACTAGAACGCACCCAGTTTCCAATTTGCTATATAGCTCTTTTCAATGGCGCTTTCGCGCCACTGTTCGCTGCGGCGGGTGCGGCTTATATACGGTGCGGCTTATACTCCGGAAAATAGGGTAGTCCTAACTTTTTTTATTGGATTTAATTGGTAGTCGGATCACTCTCGGTGCAACAAATATTCTTGATTCAAACATACCAATTCGCTGCTGCCTCATTTGAACATTGGGAAAAGGTTACGACTGATTTTACCCTATTTTTGCATTCAGATTTTTACTCACAAAAACCTTCATAACTCCTCGCCCAGAAGCCCGCAGCAGATAGCAAAGATAGATTTGGAATCAGCGTTCCAAGCTCTACAAGGCAGTATACACCACATTTCAAAAGGCCACTTCGACCAACCTTCCATCCCTTGTTAGACATCGCTTTGCATAATTCGAGTTTTTCCACACGCATGTATCCTTTTGATTGTAAACAAGGCATTTATTTTTTTTTGAGGGACCCACAACATTGGAATTGCACTCGTGTGAGAACAGCATGTATGTAAGTAGTGTCCCTGTCCTGACTTGTTCAACTTGGTGAGGATGCCTGGGAGACGGTCAAGAGGCGCGATTTCTTTCACTGTCACCAATTCCAAACTCCACTTTAGTGCTACGCGAGTCTTCAAAAAGTACCACATGAAGTACATTGGGTTACTATCTGTCTAAGATAACCAAGTGCTGAGTTTGGTGACATTTGCTGGAAAACGGACCGAATTATCCAAAAATTTGTTTTTTGACTGCATTTTCATGGGTTTTTGACCTTCAAAGTTGCTTTTTTGAGTTTCCAAGGTAGCAAGATTGAGGAATCCATGCAGCTAAATAGTATATCTCCTTCAGAAATTTAGATACTTTTAGAATGTTATAAAACACTTAATATGTGCTGTTTGGTGTCCATCTGGCAATAAAAATCGCGCCTCTTGACATACACCCAGGATGCCTGGATGCCCGGCTTCTAACACATTATTCGACTCTATTTACAGGGTTTTTCAAAAGTCCTTAAGCCTAATTTTCTAACGCAGAAACTTTGTCAGTATTCCTCACTTTTCAGTCAAATTTTGCATATAAGTACTTCGTCTAGTTGCTAATATTCCTCAAAAAATTCATACCGTTTGCGCTGTACATTCTCAAAATATTGTTCTTGGAGCAAACAGTACTACGATATTGAGGACAACTCAATGTAAACGTAATCCCTGCTTAAACGTCTATAACTCTTTTGCCTTTGAAGCTCTTGCGAAATCTTGAGTTGCATATTGTAGCGCTAGCTTCACTCTACGTTTACATGCAAAACTAATCAGTATCTCTGTTCATTGTTGAAGTAGGATACAAACTCAAAGTAGTACCGTGCCTATAAGAAGAAAAAGTTCTCGGGAACAGAAATTCGGGAAGGCTGAAAACTCCAACACCCATTCAGTTTGAGCCACTAATTCTGCATTTTGTTATTGAAATATCATCTCAAAGTCACTCCATGTACACCATAGTTGCTGTTTTTTTATGCTTTCAAAAAGTTGATTTTTACATTTTGACACTGTTGTTAGATCTCACAGACATACTTCTCAGATCAATGTGCTTTCAATGGCCGGCTCAAAGGTCCTTAACTTTTCTTTGAGATCAGTCATCGAAAGCAAGGCTTGCTTTCACACAAAATTCTGGGCAATTTAGAACGCTTGCTTCAGAAGATACGAGACATTCTCGACGTCAAGTACGTGTCTGCCATGTTGCATGCGTTTCGCAAGAGTGTGAAGGCTTGTGTGAAGGCCAAATGAGGGTTTTCCAAAATTTGGGTATACCTTGTCATTTTGTAGACTCTTCGCAAGATTTCTACTAGATTTCATGTGTCAATGTTGCATTGTACAGTTACAGCTAAGGAAACATTAAGCTCAAAGACTTTTGGAACATCCTGTACTTTTGTTAATTCGGGAAACCGCCCTAGCCGCAAAAACATTATTTTTGCTATTTCCCTCTAAAACGATGACCTGACCCGACTCCAGCTGTGCCGGGCCTTGAGATGGCATGTCTTTTTGATGCGTAACGGCAGCTTGACATCTTTTTCCATGACTTTAGGACGAGAGGGACAAACCTTTGACTCGGGAAACGGACTCGGGAATTGTCCTCTTTTTACTTTTTTTTATGCGTGCACACACGTTTAGCATCATCTCTGATGGTAAACTTGCTGATTGTTTAGCTCACAGAAGCGCATAACAAATCTTATGCTTCGATCCCTCTGCACGTTAAGCAAGATCGTCTTCGAGCAGTCGTGATTTTAATTTCTTTCAATAGAGCACTATCTGGAAAGCACGTATCAATAGCGGTCACAGAAATTTTTCCCGAAGATGCACAAAAATCTCTCCAAATCTTCCAAAGGCTCTAAGCTGTGACTTCCGCTGGCGAGCCAATGGTTATTTATGCGTTGATATGTATTGATAGCTTGGCTTTTTGCTCTTCTCACTTCACATAAAACGTCTTCTAACTTATTTTTTCTATCTAAACAGTTTTTAACGAAGAAGGTCAGTCTAAAAAAGGTTTTGCTCTGCCTTTAGTTAACAAATGATTTTTTGAGCTGCTTCCAGTGTTGCACGTCCAACGCTCTGCTAATCGGATGTTTTCTTCTCAGTATCTCTCTGGGAGCGGTCTACCAAGATCGTCTTGGCGCTTTCCTCACTTCTACATTTATCATGCAAGTCACCCATTTTTTGGATGGGTAAGTATATAGTTGGTTCCCTTTCTTCTACTCGCGTAACTTCAGCTTTTCAGAATGGCTGTTGCGCTACTGAACCGTGATATACGTGCGCATGTGTTCAAACCGTCAAAACTCATAGGGTTGAAACCCTAATTCATTTAGAGCCGCTTGTCAAACGTCGTCTCACATAACTGGTGCAACTTACTGCGTGAGATGCAAAAAAAGAACTAAGCTTGATTTCCAGATTCCTGAAGCAATGTGGCAGTTTGAATATGGAATGTACCTGATATTGCTGTCGAAAAAGTGTGGAGTTTACTACTACACACTTATGCTGTTTTAACATGGTTAAAAATGATAAGCTCTTGAAAGTAGTAAAAATGACTAGTAGACTCGACGGTAGATACAATTCTTACGGTAACGTCAAATTCAAAATCTAATGCGTTATGTGAACCTAATATTTGTTAAGCAAAGCTTCACTTCTAACAAGGGAACGATCCCAACTTAAGGTGGCGAATTGGTATGAATGATGATGATTAGAAGCGTCTTCATGAGCTAGTTCCAAATCTACCTTCAGTATCTGCGATACCGTTTTTTGGAAGAAATTATGAGCGGTTAAAAATATGAAGTCATTGGGGTTCCAATGCATGATATGCTTTGAAATCAACTCTAGGAATGCATGATTAACACGCTAATGAGTGTACTGATTTAAAGGAATGCTTGCATTTATAGGAAATTCTAAGAAGTATTTTTAAACAACTAAAGAACAAATTAGGTTCTTTGGTAAAAGCAATGAAAAGTAAGCAATGAAAAGTGCTAATTTGGCAAATATACCGCGCCATACCTCAAGAATTAGTTGATCAAAATCACTTCCTTGTGTTTCCATTGATTGCAACATTCTTTGAAATCAGTACACTCATTATCATGCTAGCCATACGCTCCCAAGTTGTTTTTCAAAGCACATTATGCATTAAAATCCCATTGTCTTCACACATTTAACCTCTCATAACTTCTTCCATAGAACAGCATCGCAGATATAAAAGGTAGATTTGGAATCACCTCATCAAGACGCATCTAATGGTACGCGGCTCATCCCAGTTTGCCACCAAGTTGGGATCGTTCCCTTTTAAGTACATGTTTGCGATGAGCATGAACCTCATATGACAGAACAAGAGGACAGGCCCAAATCCAAAAGTCTTTGCCTGCGAAAACTTAGAACAGTCTTTAGATTCGCGCTCTAACAATAAGGATACTGCGGGCGGCACCGATGGCCCGTCAAACTGGACTTTGTTTTTAAGGTAAAAAGCAAAAAAGACATCGTTTTTGCAGGGTTCGGGTGAAGATCTAAGAAAAAATGGTAAACATGTCAGGCTGTGAACATGCTGAACGTGTTCTTTCGCAAGTGCGCATAATCTAAGATCAAGATCCAAACAAATGACTTGTTTATAGCGCACAAACCCTATGTGTACACGATATGGCTCCAAACTATCTTATGTGTTTCCAAAATATGTGTCTTGATTCCAGTCTCCAAATTTTTTGGTTTCTAAGATAACACCGAACCAACTGGGTTGGTTCGACATGAATATCGGAATGTTCATGTAAGTTTTGGACCTTTCTGACTTAGACGATTGTAGGCTAGAGATTTGGTTGTACCTTAACCTAGGATTTTCAACATGGAACACCAAACAAAGTTTTCCTACAGATTTTGATGTAAAAGACTACGTAGAAATTTGCGGGAATCGTCGGGAACTTTTTTTCAAAAGTTCTCCAAATTCTCCAATTCTCCAATCCAATTCACCAATGCATGCCGGGGTCTTCTTGTGATTCACGCGATTTCCAAATCTAAGTTCTGGTGGTGCAGTGCCTGCGAGCGCACAATACCGACATCACGGAGCTCGTTAGTGTGGTACGTTCAAAAAAAATGTTGTAGATTATGTAGTACCTTGACTCACTGAAACGCCTTAGAAATGCACGAAATGATAACACAAAACTAGCAAAATCTTACTCAAACTGTCCTTGTGAAGGTTGTTGACGATTGCTCTATGTATCTTAGAAATTTACACTTTCATGTCATCCACATAGGTGCTCACGGCTGCAACACCTGTATTTACTTATGTAATTTTTGAAGTCAATACACTAGACAAAATACGCAGTGTTGATGTTTTTAACAGGCATTCTACATTTATTATTCATAAATGGTTTTGAGTAAAATACTTTTATGGATTAGGGAAGCTCCTCGCAACAAAATCAAGCATGCTTTGAGTGGTTTCCCGGAATTAGGAAAGTCTGTAACTTATAGCAGAAGTTCATATGTTGACAGAGATAGTTTAAAATGTCGGATGCAGAAATCAAATTTATTTCGCATGATAGGCTTCAGAGAGTTTTTGATAAGTGGGGTAAAGATCAAGTTTTCAGAAACTCCCATCGTTATCCATTCATTACGGTAGTAACCATTCACTGGAGAAATCAGTCCCAAAGGCACATGACATGTATCAGTCGGGCACCTCTTCTCCACCATCATTTTCGATCATGATCCATCTTCATTAAAAACTCTTCTTTTTTGAAGAAAAGAGAAAGAGATCTGGACCCTCTCCACCTTCTTGTTCTCCCGAAACTTTCACCCTCTATGAGTTTCTTTACCAGTTTCAGTTCGCAAGTGTCCTGTCAAAAAAGCTAATTCCCAAATGATGCTATTACGATCTGAATGAAAACGGTCATTTCGATTTTGCGATCAACATAATGATCATCTTCTTGTAAACAGTTCCAGCACTTTGGAATAAGGTTTGCCAAAGAGTAGCATACGAATCAAAACTAATCTATTAACAAAGAAGTAATCTATCTTTACTTGCCTCTTCTTTAGTGCGTACCTACAAAATTTAATCTCTATTCAAAAAGGTGGTTCTCAGTGTTGGACGATAGCCTTGTTGAAAAAGTAATTCGATAATGTTGCTTCTAAAATAACTAGTGGGGTGCAAAATTTTTACCTGTTACCTGGAAAAAAGTGTAATGACTCCAACATGGACGATAGTTGAGTAACATTCAGTAAACTGGTATCCGCTTTTCTGATAGTTAGACACAATGCTCTAGAAATTTCCGTTGAAATGGCACATCCTCAACTCCACCTTTGTGAGGTTTTCGTCAATAAACCGTCAATGCAAATATTGAAATTATTTCATTACAAAATCAACCGGTTTATGATATGAAATGACACGCTTAAAATTTGGTTTCTGGTCGAGTTTCAATCCATTTCTTGAGAGCAGGGTTCGAGCGCACTTTTTCGGCATGAGCTTTGATCTGGAAACAAATGTGAGACCTCGGAATTCATTCAAACTGAAAGCTTGATAAGCTTATTCTCACCTCTGGGAAGCCATCATAGAGGTTTGGAATTTTCTTGGCGAATTCAGCGGAAAACTCGGCTAGAAGCAGATCAGCGACAGTTATTGAACTGCCAACGAGGTAACCTCAAAAGTATATTAGTGAGATGGTGCTCAGAGGTTTATTTCCTAGTGAAATTACCGGTGTTGTTCTTCTTCAAGAATTTTGTCATGAAACCAAAGAACTTTTCACGAGCTGGCATGAACACTTCCTTGGTGAGTTTATCCTGTAAGAGATATTACAACCGTAATTATTGGCTTGAGCTTTATAAGCTACCACGGAATTAAGAATCAAAGTAAGCAGCGAATAAAAAAATCTATCCTTCAATCGAATTTGACCTGGATTAGCAGATTGGAAGCGTTTGCTTCCTGAAAAATGTTTCAAAACTAAGATCCTTGGTTCTAATACTACTTTTTTGGCGGAAATGATTGTAACTTCAAATATCTCCTTTCATACAACACGACAGAATATTAGAGAAGAAATCAGATTTTTACAAAGAAATTTCCTTACCGCATCTCCTTTCTCGAATCCCATCCAAACCCTGAATAGTGGACGAATCTCATTTTGGAAGTCTTTGTACTGGTCCATAATGGAGTCAACAAGTGCCTCCTCGAAAGGACATTTGGGGGTGAGTCCTAAGAAGATTATTACAGAATTCAAGAAAAATTCTTGGAATTATTCAATTTACCGAATTTTCTGGCCAAGAATCGAGCTATGGCATGAGATTGAGCCAGCTGTACGCCATCCACTTCAAGCACTGGCATCTGGCCAAATGGCATTTCTAAAACATTAATCTAGTTTCCTTCTATATAAATATTATAATTCACAGTTAAAATTTTTTTACCTGATTTGTGTTGCGGCCATTCCTCGAAAGTGTAGCGAACATCCTCATATTCTTGATTGGCAAGGACAAAGATCTGTAAATCACTGTTAATAAAAAAATTTTTAAATATCAAGAAATAAATGTTTACCTGACGGATAACTTCTGCAGCTCCACGGCCGTCGAAGTAGGTGAGTTTGTAGTGAACCATTCTGAAAAATACAGAATTTTTACAAAGTTTTAGAGAAATATTGCGCGATAATAGAGTCAACTGAAGCGAACGATGATCAGTGCAAAATAACAGTACATTTAACACATGGGTGCTATTTTCTGAGAATAAGCAAATATTTTATTTGTTTACATGCAGAACAGGCTTGATCGCAATATTAGTCTCAAATCCATCGGCCATTTTCTGGCAAAACTGATGTAAAAGCTATTGTTATGGCTGGCTCCTGCTACACAGAAATTGGAAGTCATTCAAATCAAAGGTTGGAGTTGATTATATACACAAGATGTTTGCGTTACCTGTCTGCCCAACGAGTTTATATAAGCTGTCATGTCATCAATTTGGAAAGACAAAATTGATAACTGAGTTGCTGACCCCAAATTATGTGCTTTGGAGCATTTTTGTGAAAACAAATCTTAAAAAAGTGCTGACAAACGTATGGTGTTTGTCAGCAGTTTTGAAAGGATGTCGCGCTACTAGAAATGGCTGCGAACTATGATGATACTGTAAGAAAACTCTATGAAGCAAATTCTTTGTATTCTTTCTTCAAATACCTTACTTCCCCTAGAGACATAAAATGTAATTTAAAAGCTAATCATTATTATGAGCTAAATAAATTCTGTAAATTTCAGAAACTACATTATTTTTATTAAAATCATAATTTGTTCATTCAAAAATTGCTCCAATGCTTGGTCAATTCTTCTCTGCATTCTTTTGAAGATTTTCAAAACTGCTATTTACAAGACAGATTTCTCTTCTCTTCTTCCATGGTACATATACCGTATGTGAAACAAACAAAAAGAACTTATCAATTCCAAAATATGGGCTATACTTATCCAAAACTTCATATAAGGATTTTGATATATGTATTTTCGTGTGGATGAAACCTCTCCCAGAGGCAGGAATGCAAATTTGAATCAGTTTTTGGACATTTTATGGCTTGGTAGTCGCCATTAGGAAAATGAACATCGTGGGCTACGTCTCTGTGCAAAAATCTTCTCAAATAATCAGGTAAGATCTTGGCGAATTGAACATGTACGCAACTAATTTGTTGGCGCCATTTTCGTAAAGTAGACAACTTTAGTTCAGTTTTTTGGGCTAAAGGCCATGGCTTCCACATTAGCTTGCCAAACATATCCAAAACTTTGCAAAAGGTTTCACACGGACCCAATTATGCTGGCGAGAAGTGTGGATTCGCCTGACGCGCAAGTTTTAAAGGATCCGCTTCACGGATTCGCCTATGCTTTTGCACAATGGACCTGCATGCTGCTACCACATGCTGTGCCAAATCTGGGCTCAAGAAACTGGCTGGAACTCGCTCTACGAATTTCGTAACGGACAGACAGACACACACACGTACAAAAAGACGTGAACAACCCTTAGCCCGTTATTATAAGTCATGATAATTAGCTGGGTGAAGGGCTAATAATAAACCCTGGTCAATACCGCCGTCACTCGACTAAGTAAGGCCCTTCCAAATAATGCTGACTAGCAGATAGAATCGAGGAAAGGAGGAGGACAACAAATGAACTGTTTATAGGCTCCTTACTGAAAATGAAACTCCATGAATACAAAACTTATAAGAAAACTCGGAGAAAACTCTTGAGGCTGTTCAAAGATATTATCGTTCTTTTATATCGAAACGATGTGTGCGAAAGTTCGACCATAGATCGGCATCGTTGGTGCTATCCACGCATAGCGCATCGATCACATCGATGTCGCAAAGCGAACGCTAAGGTTGTGCCATTTTTTGTCATCATCAAGACCAATGAAATCAACTTCTTATGTTTTTTCGCTATAACTGTAAGCTATGAATGTCATTCTAGTGGTAAGAATAATATAGATCTTTTAGACACAATTTATTTAAAAACAAACGTATACTATTACTCTGGCTAAAAAATTCGGTCGTTTTGGAAGTTTGTAAATTGATTTGTGTAAGAAGGTATGGTACCTTTGAAAAGAGCAACTCAAGGAAAATTGAAAAGTCAATTCTCTTTGAGCGCCAGTCGACATTTTGACAAGAAACTATGCAGGGAAAGTAAAATAGTCAATCTTCGAAAAATCATGCTCCAAAAAGCGAGCTGAAGTTGGGTGTAGCATGCACATCGCATCCACACAACATTTTTTGGAATTTTCAACAATTTGTGCGACCATAAGTGGTCAAGTTCAAGCAATCTTGATTTCCCAAAAATTGACTTTCACGCACAAATGCCTGAAAATTTCCACAACTTTGGCTGCAGAACTTCACAAACAGCAGATCACAATCTCCGCTGTAGTTCGCCTTGTAGCCAAAGGTCGCATATATTTGATCACCAGATAATATGTCTTTGCATCCACTACAGGCTGAGAAGGAAACTTAGAAAATCAAAAAAAGCGATTTTTTAAAGTGAAACCAAAAGCTCGAAGTCGTCTCCTTGCAAAGAAAATCTCAGCTGATTAGTTGCTAGTCGACTGTTATGTAATTTCGAAGTTGCATGTCAAAACGAAATCATTTCTTAGCCAAACTAGTGATGTGAAAAGTCCTCAATTTTACTTTCATTTCATCACTATGAGGAGAAATCAAAAGAACTTTTTGGTTTTTTTATTTTGATTTTACACCATATATAAAGAGAATTTGAAAGAGCTTTGCTTGCGTTGCGGTTCTTTCAGCATTATGAACGCCCAAATAGGACAATAGAAAGTTTACAAAAGTGAAACATTATTAAAATTTGAAAAGAAATTCGAAATAGTTGTCACAAGCACAGAAATGGGACATGCCCCAGCAGCAGCAACTACCAAAATGATTGAGATGAAGAAATTAAGACCTCCCATCGATATATTAGAGGTCAGGAGATCAAATAATCCAATACAGAGCTGATGTATTGAAGTATTTATACTACGTTGAGAATGATTTTGATGACATTTCCATGCAAAGTTCAAAATTCGAAATTTCTTGGATATCAAATCAATCACTGCAATCAGCGTCGATTCGTAATTCCAAGCATTTGTCATCTATTCCACAGCCAAAAAAGTTTGCTGCCTGGTAGATGTCTAAAAAGCTTCAGAGAAGTATCTGAAGTGGATGGTCGACTAAGTATTCATTATAACTGAAATGTACAAGTTTATTCGAAGTGGCACCAATTTCAGAAATTTTTCAGTTCCTTTACGCCCCGGCCATCTTGCTTAACATTTTTTAAAGTTCACTCCAAGGATATTTCTAGAACTTCAGTATAGGTGACCGATGCGCAAGAATCACTTAAGCTTCTATCAATTCGAGCGCGCTTACTAAAAATCAAAAACGTTGCAGCAAAATCAAAGCTATGGGGAGAATTTGATTTATGAAATACTTTTTTCTTACTGAGCAAAGGGTGTTGACGAACTTCTCCAAGTGTGGATTATCATGTCGAGAGAGGAACTGACTCAGTTGAACTTCGGAACACTCGTCGTGTCGCGGCTCGCGATGCAAGCCACTCCTCGAAACAGGAGGCCGGGAGCGCTGACTATCGCGTTACTTGGCGCGCTTTCAAGATCGCGCCAAGACCCCTCCTGCTGGGCGCGTTGCCAAGTCACAGGGTATATAAGGGCGCGCAGGCCGCGGTCTACGCCTCTTCGAGTTTCGTTCGTATTGATTGTTTTATGAGATCGTTCGTGCTGTCAGCGCCTCCAGCAGCTCCCGCAGATGATCATCGGCTTCGAGCGGTTGAGCCTTTGTTATCTTCTTGGTTTTGGAGAAGCGCAGCTAAACATCATGGCTCGTCTAGCGTAGGAAGCACACCAGCGGGAGTGGAGAGGGGTCACACCGTCCCGGAAGGGCTAGGGGCTTGCGGTTGACCCAGCGGAGAGCCCGGAATTACGCGTTGGAGTGATCATCACCGAGCATCGGCAGCACGGGACAAGACGGCTCGTCCCGTGCCTATCTCTTCCTGATTTTAGGGAGTAGTTTTAGTAGCTTTAGTAGTTTTTAGTAGTTCTCGTAGTTCTAGTTTTAGTATTGTTAGTAGTTTATTGTTGTGTATATTTGTAGATAAATGTAATCTGAATTAGTCCGTCCTTTTCTTTCTCAGCGTTACGCGCTATCTACTGTACCGTTCATATGAGAGCGGGTAGTCCTCGGCAGCGTCCGATAGGGCGTAGCTAACCTTATTGGACGCGCGACACCATGTAGGGGACAATAGGGAATTAGGCGTAGCTGCGGCGAGCACTTGCGGAAGGTGCTGATCACACCGAGCCGCCACACGTCGATATTTTTTGAGTAATCGAAAAATATAAGCTTTTGACCAAAACTAGCTCTCCTGAATCAAAAAGAGTAGCCACAAAACCAGGGTTGATGACTGCTTCCAGAAAGAAAGAGCATGTCATAAAACCAAAAGAAGGTAAAATGAGTAGATCATAGATGTTCTAGTAATTTTAGCAAGTAAAGTTTAAAAAAACCACTTTCTTATCAGCTTGTATCATTAATAATACGCAGAGATAGAACTTTTGAACAAATGCTTCAAACTGAAAGTGTAGCAAACCTATTTAGAAAACCACATGACATACTGGTATAACGTAAAAAATGTGGTTTGTGATCGAACTTTCCCTCTCCCTGTGACTGCTTGCCGAGCTGGACCTGAAGTTTGGCCTGATGACTTTTTCAAGAGAGCGCAGTTTACTTTGCACACTCTGCAGCGCGTGTGACAATAAATCACAAGTTTAGGTGCCATGTTGCCCCTCTGCCAATTATTTTGAGTTTTTGAGAACGTTTTTCTTCAAAAACTGTAGCTGAATTAGTACAGTTGCGACCATGTGTCCAGCTCAAAAAGTTTCGATCAAGATTTATGAGGCAGTGTAAAGAAGAGAAGTTAAAACTATCATGTGAAGAAAACATTTTACTGCGCTAGAACTTTCTAAAATACTCTTCAAAGGTTAGATATTAGAGTTTTAAAGCGGGCAAAGTTTATTTCACAACTACTTTGCAATCAATGTCATCACCAAATCTGCTAGAAAAATTCATCGTAATGGATTTG